ATGTCTTGTCCCCCTGCACAGCGTGGTATCCCCTGTCCCGCAGTGAGCACGCCACGTACACCACCCAACAGCAGGGAGACAGCCCAATTATTAAAGGAGGTCCCTCTGGGGCATAACACATTTTAGCATAAAGAATCCTAATCTAAGTTTAAAGAAACCAAGAAAATCTGGATGAAAAAGTGGCATTTCTAAATACCACAAATGTTTTCTTCATCTTACCATTAACATATACTTTTCTAAAATTCTTTGAAGTGTCTAGAATAGTATTTAAACAAATGCATATGATTGACTGTTAGTACTATAGACACTAAAGGTTTTCATCAAACAGCTGTCATGACCATAAACATTGCGTTCTTCTACAGAGTCAATCAGCACCTCCTCACCAGGGCCCAGCATAGTACACATTTCAAAGGAGACCCTAGATTTCAAAGCGACTGACAAGCCATAGATACTGCTCTTTCCCTTCCCCACGGTGGGGGGGGGGGACAAAAAAAAAACTGGGAATGTTTCTACTTTAGGTTTTTCAGCAATACTTTAATGTTATTGAAACATATCAAAACAAAAATGAATTTTCTTGAAAGCCTTACACAATAGAATTTTATTCAGAAAAAAATCATACTTACACTTATGTATGTAGTTTTAGTATTTAAAGTATTAATTTATACCTAAAACTAATACAATGTTATATGTCAGTTATATCTCAATTTTAAAAATGATCAGGAAATAATTTGGCCATTTCATTCATTCATTCACGAAATATTTGCTGAGTGCTTATCCTAAGAGCTGGAAATAGATTAGTAAACAAATCAGCTAACATCCCTGCTCCTATGGAGCTTCCTTCCAGCAAGAAAGAGGTAGGTGGTGTCAAGTGCTAATGAAAGAAAAAAGCAAGGTAAAGGGACAGACAGGACAGAAAGGGGTGTTATTGTGTCTCTGGCAGTTAGAGAGGGTCTCTCTGATAAAGCGACATCTGAGCAACAGTGTGAAGAAATGGGGTGAAGCAAGCCAGTATCTGGGGTGGACAGTAATATTCCAGGCAGAGGAACAGTAATAGCAAAAGCCCAGGGTGGGAGCTTTCCTGGGAGGTTTGAATACAGCGGGGAGACCAAGATGGGGTGAGTGAACGAGTATACAGAGTGGCAGGAAATGAATTTGGGGTGGCAGTTGGGGCCCATATTGGATAAGACTTTATTGGTGATGGTGAGGATTTAAGTTATATTCAGAATGAAATGTAAGCTGAAGAGTGACATGATTATGTTTCAAAAAGATCCTTTTTTAATTTCTTGAGGAACCTCTGTACTGTTATCCACAGTGGCTGCACCAGTCTGCATTCCCACCAACAGTGCACAAGGGTTCCCTTTTCTCTATATCCTTGCCAGCACTTATTCTTTATTGTCTTTTTCATAACAGCTAATCTGACAGGTGTGAGATGATACCTCATTGTGGTTTTGATTTGCCTTTCCCTGATGGTTAGTAATGTTTGGAGCATCTTTGCATATGCCTATTAGCCATCTATGTATTTTCCATGGAAAATGTCTGTTCAGGTCCTCTGCTCATTTTTTAATGGATTGTTTGTTTTTAGATGTTGAGTTGTATGAGTTCTTCTTCTATTTCATATATTAACCCCCTTATTGAATGTGTCATTTACAAATATCTTCCCCTATTTAGTGCAGTGACTTTTTGTTTGTTGATGGTTTCCTTCAGTGTACAAAACCTTTTTATTTTGATATAGTCCTGTTTTTTATTTTTGCTCTTGTTGCCCTTGCCTGGGGAGACATATCAAGAAAGATATTGCTAAGACCAATGTCAAAGAGTTTACTGCCTATTTTCTTCTAGGAGCTTCATAATCTCTAGTCTTACATTTAAGCCCTTAATCCATTTTGAGTTAATTTTTGAGTATGGTGTAAGAGGTACAAATTTCTAGTTACAAAATAAATAAGTCACAAGGATGTAAAGTGCACAAGGGGAATGCAGTCAATGGTATCAAAATAACCCTGCATGATAGCAGCTGGTTATCAGGCTCAGTGTGATAATCGCCTTGTTAGATACAGTGATGTTGAATCATTATGATGACATCATAGTGATGTTAATGTATAACCATTATACACCTAAAACTACTATATATAGTATATTAACTATATTTTAATAAAAATTCATTAAATAGATAAAATAAAAAGATCCTTCTGGCTGCCAGATAGAGAAAGACTGAGGCAAAGGATGGGCAGAATGGGTGGCAAGAGTAGAAGCAGGGAAACCCATCAGAGGGCGACAGTGACCATCCAGGGGGAGGGCAGCAGCTGACCCAGCACAGTGAGGCAGAGCCGGGCACCAGCAGTCAGGTTCTGGATATATTTTCTTGGTGGACTTGACAAGATTGGTGAATTGGTAGGATGTAGAATGTGCATGGAAAACAAGAGTGTTGAATGACTTTAAAGGAAACTTTCAGCTGCCACTGAGCCTAAAAAAGTAGCCGAGTTGTGTGGGTGAAGGTGGAGAAAGGTGAGGAGTGGGGAGATGGTCTGGGGCACATTGGGTTTGATATGTCACCAATAATTTGAATATTGGCATAAGGTGCCAATTGGTAGAATGTGTTTTGCTTCAATTAAAATAAATGTAAATTAGGAGCATATTGCCATATATCTTAAAATCTTTTCAAATTAACAGTTATTCTGTGGTGATACCATCACTTATGTTTATAATAAAACTTATTGATACACCTTTTTTTGCTTCATAACTCATACCTCGATTTCTAAAATAGGGACTGTCGCTGAAGACAGAGCATCTTGCCCTCATGACGAGAAGAGTGGCAAACTTATAAATGCCTCCAGAGGGTCAGCTTTTCTTACAGGGCTGAAGAAACCTTGTTTGAGTTTTTGGGACCTCCCTCTTCCTGCACAAAACCTCCCCTCTGTCACCTTCCATGAAGTCCAAAATTCCTCCATTTGAAAAGATGTAATTAATTCTTCTTAATTGTATGCTACTCTTACTCAGATTGTAGTATAAATGCAAAAATATTTATGTATACCATCCTTCCAGGGAGACATTTTCTCATTCAGTTTGGCATAGTATAAGGTCCCCTTGCTAGACATAATTAGGAAAAAGGAGCGGTAGCTTGAGAAAAGAAAGAGAAAATGAACCAACAACAGTGGGGTTTTATAACACAACCTTAGAAGGGAGAATGGAATCAGGGACAAGTGAACCTGGACTTGAATCTGCTGGTTCAGAGGGAGCTGAGACATGTGCAGAAGGGATTTCTGAATTCTCCTCTACATCGATTCACCCAAGACCTTATCATCGACACGGCTGATGACTTCCACACTCATCTCCAGTACAGGCTTCTCTTCCAAACTCTGCCTTCTTGATGCCTCCATTTGAATGACACACCATTTCAATGCTCTGTTCTGTCTATAAGAAACATTTTTCTCCCAAAGCCCCCTTGGCCTACTTAACTTCCATTCAGCACTCATATCTCAGTTCAAATCTCCTTCCTTGGGGAAGGCTGCCCTGCCATCAGGACCAGATGGAATTCCCATTAGTACACCTTGTCACCCCTATGCCCTCCTCTCATACCACTTACTCTCTTCATAATTATACAGTACTTGGGTAAGTTTCTGCTTAAAGTCAGGGATCCCACCAGGCTCTAAGCCCTTCAGAGCATATGCATGTCTCTTTCACTCTGTGCTGTATGCATTGCCAGATCCAAGCTCTTGGATGGTGTGCAAAAAGCACCCAATAAACCCTGATGAATAAATGAGTGGATGCTGTGTTAGTGCACACAGACAAAAGTAAAAGGGTCACTGCTGAAGCACAGACTCTATGGTACATTGTATATGGGAGAGACATCAACTCCAGCATGCTGAACTGAAATAAAGTTAAATAAGGTTGATGGAAATGTGTTCTCATATTGGCTTTGGGTTTTATTTATCCCACCAAGCATCAACATTATTCTGTTCCTCCATAACCACAGCAGCCCCAAGCTCCTACAAAATAGAAACAAATCAAGAAGTTACTGAACCAATTGTTAGAGAATTAGACACAGAAAGGGAAGGTCCCTCATGCCTACCTTCCCTACAGTAAAGTGAAACTATTTTATACTGTATCAGAATTACAGAGAAAGGATATCTTTAAAAGCTTTCTACCAAGGAGGAATCTAAAAGGTCAGACTAATAGTAAGAGCAGAAAAGTGGTTGCTGAGCTGGGTGAGGGGAAGTGGACAAACACAGAGCAAAGGTACAAACTTTTGGCCACACAGCAAGGAAGGGCTGACGGTCTAGGGTGTAACATGGTGACCATGGTGAACAACACTGTCTCGCATAATGGAAATTTGTTGAGAGTAGAAAGCAACTGCTCTGTTTTTGGAAATAAAAACAAAAACCAAATAAATCTCTGATAACCACTTTATCGGTATTAGTTTACATCCAAAACAATTTCAACTAAAACTTTTGATCTAATCCACCAGCTTGGATGCAGAAAACAGAAGAAAGTAGAGGAAAAGGGTGGGTATATAAAATATAGAGAACATTTGTAATAATCAACAGTACTTTCCATTTAAAAACAAAAGCTTCATATCCCAAGTATCATACTCAGCTTTTTTTGGCAAGGTCTAACTCTGACTGCAAATGTATATAAATATTCAAACACACACATTTCATAGCAACTGCTCAGCCACTCAAATGTAATAACTATAAGAATGGTTTTTCTTAATGGAAATCAGATACAAACTTTGCAGAACAAAAATTTCCATTCTGGCCATATATATCCTTTATATCCAACTCTTATAAAACAAACTCAAAAACAGATCCCAAAACCCTTTTGCCATTAAAGATACAAAACAAACATGCAGAAATGCAAATTAGTAGTTTAAAAAAAGGACTCAAAATGAAAAACTTTCAAATACACCCAGGCTAAATGGTTATGTGTAAAGAATGTGTTAAAACACACTTGTGACACATTTTTTCAAAATGAATTAGTTTTCTTTAAGAATGATTAATGTTTGGTACCTCCTTCATCAGACAGCCTCGTTACCTCACTGCAGCAGGAAAAGCTAGGGTAAACCTCGGACATTTCTGACTTGTCATCTCCCAAAACGGTACCGAAGGTACTGCTCGAGTGAGACCGAGACCGCTGTCTCCTATAGTGACTTGCCTTTTCTATATTGGAGGGAAAGTATTCACACTTGTGATCAAGTGCATTGAAAAACATAGGAAACAAAATATTATTAAAAGTTTAACAAGAAGGAGAAACAATCCCTTACTAAATAACTCAAAAGCTCCATACTATAAATTCTAACCACCTATTCCCCAAAATCAGCATAGATTGTATCAGCTATATAAATGACTTAATGATTATTATGCTCATTTTAATCTAGATTTTAAAATAGATATGAGGGATAGAAAATTGAGAAGAATTAAGAAAACATTAGCAAACTAATAAATTTCTATCAAACATAATGACTAGTTACAAATAATTGCTTTCAAGTGTCACCAACATGCAATATTTGTTGCCTTTTCTTTATTTTTAGAAGCTTAAATGACTATTTGGTTGATTGTGTGGATAAAATTGACTATTAAAAATTAGAATCCCCATTTTGCTTTGGGCTTTCCATTTTATTAATGTCAACAATAAAATCTAAAGTCAAAATCAGAGGGCAGGACAAGAACTAAATGATGTATCTATCTTTAATGTTTAAAATAACTGCACAATTGTCAAAGCTTTTGTTTGCTAAACACAGTATGAAAGTCGGAAATATCAAATCAGCTATCATTATACCCAGATATCCAAACCATTCAGTTTTTGCTTTTAATTATAAATATGCAGTCTAAGTTAAAAGTCAAACTTCCAGGAAAACTATAAATTTCACATTATATGAAAACTCAGAAGTAATTTTAGGGAGACTTGAAAGTTTATTTTAAGACATTTGTGATGCTATACAGATAACTTCCCAATGCATTTATATATAATTCTTTAATTCTACCTTTGAAAAGTTGTAACAGCATTTCTCATGAAACAAATGTTTTTTATGACTTGGCAGTTTAGTGCGGTCCAAATAACTGAAATAACTGCATTTGAAAGCAAATATAGCTAAGTTCTAAATGCCCTTTTAAATGAATCTAGTACAAACTAGTTTCACTATACTAAAAAGTCCTTTTCAAGTTTCGTTTTCATGCTAGCACTTTTCTGGTTTTTCAAACCCTCAACTTTAAAATTTACGTCACACAGTCAGCACAATGAACCTCTGCAGCACAGAGCATCTGCACCTTCAGGACAAAACCACACAATAGGGAGGAACTCGAAGTGCAAGCAGTACCAGAGAGCATATGTAGACTCCTAGACTGAATGTTGTCTTCTAGAGGGTCAATGTCGAAGATAGAGCCAGGATCTGTGCGCCAAACTTTGAGGTCTTTTACCAAAAGGAAAAAATCAACAAATCAAGAATGAATTTAAAAAGTCAGCACCAAAGAGAGTCACGAGCAAGTCTTGAAAGTGACATATGTAAAGAGCAAACATGTAATAAGCAAACCAACTGCAATGCAGACATCAAAGAGAACAAAGAAATTTTGTGTTCACCAGGATTTGTTAAGAAAATTTTCTGGTCACATTTAAGCTGCCCTGTTTATTCTTCATTGCTCTTCCACACGAGTCATCCCCCAGCACACGAGCACACTAGCGTGCTCAGTGCAGCCGCCCCCACCCCTGACCCTGGTCACTTGTGCTCTCCACACACTGCAACAGGTACAATATTTGGTGAAAACTCCTGATGAAGGACATCTGAGTAATTCTTGGGATGTGACTGAGAGATTTTTCCTGAGAAAACAAAACAAAAAAATTCTCTCCCTATAACAGAAATACATTTTTAAAATGTAAGCAAGTAGCAGCCAGTTTTCATTCTGAGCCAGTGAGTGTGAGCTAATCCACGTAGACACACTTATCTGAAAAATGCAATAAAGCAAGGCACCAAGCAAGGACCAATGAGGGACAGGAAGATGAACAAGGAAAAGCTTCCTGCTGTCCATGGACCACAGATTAGTTTGCTGCTGTGGTCAACAAGCAGACTGTGCAAGCCAATTTATTCTCCTGTTTTAGTTGGAGGCAAAATCTAAATCTAATAACTTCCAGGTTTATCAGTCTCTCTACCTAATGGTTATCAGGCCCTAAAATGATCTGTATAGTGCTATACCAACAACAGGAAAATAAAAACCTAGTTAAAGATGTCAATTATTTGCACAATTAGTGCTAACACATGAAACTGTCAAACATACACTTCCCTGACTCATGTCATCACTGAATGGCCTTTCATGAGGTCCAAAACGTTTTTACGTTTCAAGGTTAAGTTAACCTAACACTGAGTTTACTGACAGGCACTGTTACATGACTACCAAAAATATTATTTGAGCAATATAATTGGACTAGCTACAATAATTTAGAGACTAACTGCTCTGAAGAAGACAATAGTCTGTTGGAAGTATGGGTTGTTGGTACATGCTGAAAAATTAATAGCTTTGCTGTCTTATCCTTAGACTTCATAGGATCCTTGCCGTCTCAGCCACCTTCAAACACTGTTCCTAAGACTTCCCCTGACTGACTAGAAGGGACAACCAGAAAAGAAGTCCTTTGCTTTCTGATTTATGGGGCTTTCAGACACTTCCCAAGTATCCCCATTCAGAGGTAATATTTAAAAAATATAAATTATTCATGTTATGGCATGCCATCAGAATCTGCCTGAGATGTCTATTTGTAGTAAAAGGACCTAAATGGGATTATTTCCATTATTTCTGTCACCTGTGCAGATGATGTCTGTAGTACAATATATTGATCAAATACATAAAGTAAAAACAAAATAATTATTCAACCTTTGTTATCACCCATGTCTAATATTTGAGCTGCTTCTTTGCTTAACAAATAGAAACATTTGTAAGACCAGAAAGTTATTAAAGGCAGACGTCTAGTTACAGAAAGGACTGAAACTTTACCTGGTGCATGCCATGAACCCCATTCAACAGGTGCAACAATAACACTCTAGTCCCTCTCAAGCTGGGCACTCCATCAAACACTGGAGGCGGAGTCTGATGAAGAAAGAGGCTAATTCTAAAGCTCAGGCAAGCACAGTCTTTGGGACCAAGCAGACCTGCCAAGAAGGACCATCAGCTTACCCACTATGATTCCAGGTCTTCTGTCCATCTCCACAATGTGAGGATGGACGCCTTTGTAAGCGGCATCGCTGATGACCTGGGTATTCTTCCTCACTCGCTCTGTCACCGGGTCATCCACGACAGGAGTAAAGCCCCTCCCCTTTGTCTTTTCAAAATCTTCATGGTATTTTACCTGAAAAAAAGGAAAAAAAGTATTAACTCAACTGAAATTTCCTGATTATTGCATAGCTCACAACATTTGGACATAATGACAGCCGTCACTGCATCCACTGCATTTGGATCATTTTCTGCACACATACAGGGTCCAGCAGAAGTAGCACCTGCCTAGTGTGGTTGGTAGGGTAATAATATGGGTGGAACAATTTATAGTTTTAATTTGAACATTTCACCTAATGTGTTATATGGTGTGCTTCAGTGTGATACTGTTATGTTACAGAATTACATGTTTATGATTTTGTAATAAAAAGGGGAGTTATTTGTGTAGGACCCTGTATATCTTTTCCATTCCAAAATTAATGTCTGAAACTTCAGCTTCCTAGCATTAGGAATCAAGTGGTGATATAGTCACACAGTTTTGCATTATTATGGTTAGCAGCTCTTTTAAATTACATATATATACCTTATATCAGTAAGAATCTTTAAAAGATATATGATCCTAGTTCCTCTCTAAAATGTACTAACTCAGGTACAAATTAATTTCCTATTTCTTAACCTTTAAGATGCAATAAAACTATAAGCCATCTCCACATACTTATTTGAGAAAACTATTTAAAATTAGATTAAGAGAGTTATAAATAATGATATACACATTATATGATTACAAAATTGTATATATACTTCAAAGCATACACTTTTTAGGTTCTAAAATTGGATTAGGGTAATGGTTGTTTAACTCTGTAAATTATACAAATCACTGAATTTTATACTTTAAGTAGGTAAATTTTATGGTATATAAATTATATCTTATGAAACTGTTTTAAATGGCAGACATATTTTTAATCTTCCATGCAACATGCAAACACACCAAATTCTGTCTTAAAATTAATTGGAAATAAGTCCAGCCAAATATCTTTCATAAAATGCATTTTAGTCATCATGTTAGAAATGAAAACACACCAAAAAAATCACTGAGAAAAATTATTTTATTAGACAATATTTCCATTACATTTCAGTGTGATTAAAATGTCTCCCCAAAAGGACCAGCCCATCCATACTCCCATGCTTTGCTAGTTGTCCAAATTAATGGTGAGCTGTCACTGTCAGCACACTCGGTGATGCCATTCCACAGTATATTCTAACTGTGAGAAGGAGGATCTGGTTACACCCTACCATTGAAATATGATTTTGTGCTTCTTTGACATGCCGCAGACCAGGTGTGTCTAAAATCAGACTTGGTCTGCCTTTCATCTGTTTATGGTCCTGGGTATATTTTACCTGTAAAGTAAATAGTAGAACATACTTAATAACACAATTACAATCTTAAAAACTTCATAACTTTTTCAAGTTTTCCAAGTAAGTAAAATACGTACAACATATTCTAAATTATTCCCCCAAACTACTTGTTCAGTGTATTACATTTTATTATAGAATAACAATCTAAAGTTTTATTCTCAAAGGTCTCCTTTAAAAACTATAGCAAAAATGGCCTAATCGTTCTATCAACTGAAAGCAAATGTGTAAATGAACAAAATTCACCAACAGTGCAGTCAGTAAAAGTGGTTACCACACTTAAACTGAACAGGGAAAACCCCAAACTAAATAAAACCTAAATTTACTTCCCTGTTTCTATATTTTCCCATTTTCACCATGACACTGTTGAAGAACACACACCAACTTCCCTCCATGTCATTTTATTTCTCCCTCCATAGGGGATAAGAAACAGTGAGAAACAAATCTAGTTTCCTTCTAAGCAGTCACAACCTAAAGGTAATTTATGTTGAATTCAGTCAGCATCTCTTGACAGAAATGCCATTGGAAAGGTATAAATGCTAAAACCTAAATGCTGATCCCCAGGCCAAGAGCTCTTCTTGACAGCTGACCCCCGGAATACTGATGTTTGTGAAGCTGATTATGCATGATTATTGTTGCAGACCTGAGGGCATAGTGTATGATGCAGTACCGAAACCCTGGCACCCAGTAAGAGAGAGAACACTATAGAGATAGGCACCATGGGACCTTCATGAATAAGTAATTTCTATATTAAATGTATATAAAAAATTTTCCCTGTAAGTCTTTACTTTGGAGTAATGACTCATTTCTCATTTTGTTTTGCAGAGAGCATTTAACAATCCATATTCGATGGAATACATCTGTAAAATGATAATTACTTCACTTATACATGAAAGACTTTACCACTTTCAAAGACACTGGCTAAAATACATGAATCATTGTTTAAATGAACACAACATAGTTTAAAACTAAACATTAAATGTAACTGTTGGCCACATCTGGGAATATCAATAGAGGGTTGCCAGAAAATGTCATTTTAAACATTGGCAGCTTGTGGAAATCATCTAAAATATCACATGTACTTATTGCATATATCCCAAATGTTTCTTAAAAATATATTTTGCTTTCACAAGAAAAAAATAGGGCTGCATGTAAATAGTAAATGACACATTCTTTGTGATTGTGCAAAATGAAGAAAACCACTTGCCGAACTAATATTCTCTTGATTCTTCTTTACTCTTTCCATTTCAGGAGTTACACTTAGAGCCGTAGCTCTTCCCAGCTGACCTTTATAATAAACCTGTCATTTCACAGAACAAAAAAAAATAGTGTACTGTAAATCAATTCAACTAAATAAACATCTCATAGTGTTTAAAGAACTAGCCAAGAAAGTCATGAAAAAAGAGGATGCTGTCAGAGTCCTAGTCATATTTGAAATACTTGCATCTTAAATCAATCTACTGTATTTCATAGCAGTGAATCCCTGTGAAGGTACTCAATACATGGGTATATTTTCAGGAAAGCTGTAATAAGCATGTCATCACAAAGGAACATGATACATATTTTCACTGATATACTTACAGGTGTCCCTACCCATACAGAATAGTACTACGCTGTCATGGCTTCTTAGTAATTAACTGTGGCAGAACTCTTTGAGTGGTTTCTTTAAGTAAGTGGCATGTCACGCATAAAAAGGCCAGCCTGCTTCCCACTATTGTGTTCCTCCTTTTCAATGACCATGTTCCTTTTTGAGAGTAATGGAGTCACGTCAAGTGTGACTCTAAATATCATAGGAAAAGATGAGCATCTACTTCTCCAAAATATAGTTGTTAGAAAAAGTACAAACAATAAGCTGCCTTTGCTTTATAATCTGGTCAAATAACTTGAAACGTTTAAAGAATATGAAGTTCCTTTGAACCTAATAGATTCCCAAATTTCCTCCTCGAAAGAACCTTATCTATATGTTAATGATTTCAGAAAAGGATTCTCTCAGTGAACCACATCCACGGACTGCATAAACAGAAGGGAATGAGAGCAGGCTGGGATGAGTGTCTGAGTCAAAACTGACAGCCCCTGCAAGTGCCCCTAACATGGGCCTGTTTCATGTCATCTATTTAGCTATGCACACTTTACAATTTCTCCCCAGACATCGTCCAAAAATAAAGCTAATAGCTGGGAGTGGGCTGGGAAAGAACAGGCGCAGGAAGGAAAGGGAGTGGGAAAGCTGATTTGCAGGGCCATGACGCCAGGAGCTACCCTGAGTCCTTCTGAGGAACCACAGCAGCCACGCACAGGAAGACTAGATAAGAGAGTCGCACAATAACCCACAGACAGAAATCATCCTGGCATGTCCTGGGAACTCTGTGGGGAGAATGCCTGGCTACACTCATAAGACACGAGACCCGGAAACTTTTCCAATAAATTGACAGTCAGTTGAGAGCAGCAATCAGTATCAACTCCAGGTCATGAACACTTGTAAACATTATCCACTCATTGACACGTCAACACTATGTTTGCTGTCATTAGAAGGAAGTTGCTAAGATCACACATTGCTGATATTCCTCTGATTCTCTTTAACTCTCTTCAGCTCTGGTGGATCCGAAATTGCGGTGGCCTGCTTAATCTCTCCTTTGTACTTTACCTGTAGAAGACAAATAAGAATTTTAATGGCTAGCACAATGGTCTCCACCCAAACAATATAAAGGATGAGCCTCAAATGAACCTTATCTTTTTACACAGCTTTTCCACAGTAGGTATGCATTAACCTTCCTGTCACATCTACTACTGGATTCTGAGTCATCTGCCTTAGCAAGCACAAGTGTTGTTTGTGTTTCTTGAAAATGAGTTCCTAGTAAATACTCTGCTGCTCAATACCAAAACTAACTGCAGAAATTCTGGGACTAAAAGTAATGGAAATATAAGGGGGAAACATCAGAATAGAGTCATTATAAGAAGACTACAGGGAGGTCACCGTGGCAACCTGGGAAAGACACTGACTCTCTGATTCTAGGGTTTCAATCTTCAAAACAAACAAACAAACAAACAAACAAACAAACAAACAAAGAGGAGGGGATACAGGGGGCAACAAAAAAAGGTGAAGGGATTAAGAAGTCCTACTGTCAAGTACAAGGTAGCCATGGGAATGTGAAGTACAGCAGAGGGAGTGTAGTCAGCCAATAATATTGTAATCACTATATATGGTGACAGATGGTTATCAGACTTTTTGTAGTGATTACTTCATAAGGCGCAAGATATAAATGTCAGATCACTATATGTACACCAGGAACCAATACAGTACTTCTTGTCAACTATAATTTTCAAATAATTAAATTGTTTTTAAAAATTCTCAGGAATTGGTAAGTCTCATTCTCCAAGAGTCAGTCAAAGCCCACTCACTTTTACAGGTACAGGATAGGTAATTCTAACAGCGAAAAGCCCAGTTGCACTTTTACATATGATGTTTCCTTATTTGATATTCTGTTTTCTCATTTTTTTTTGCATTTTTGAGATAGTTTTTATTTGGGCTTCTCACAGTGGTTAGAGCCACGCTGTCTTCAGAAGAATCACAGCACAGGAAATGCATCACTGCAACAGCCCAGAAAAGTCTGATCCACGAAATCCTATTGCTTAAAATCCACATATTCACAATAACTGACAAATGGTGACATGCCTCACATAGGAATGTGTTAGCATTTGCAAATCATTGGCTGAAGCACAGATCCTCCACCAACCTCTTTCTTCTCAACACACCTAGAAAACCAGGCTCGATCAAACCTCCATGGTCTCCTAACCAGTCCTTCAACGCCCCATTTCCATCTGTCTCTGCCCTCAGGGTAGCCTCCTGGAGCAGGGGCCACACTGTGGCTGTGGGAATCAAGCCCCGCTTCTGGGTTCCACTATCCTCTTCTCCTGCCTTTAGGATAGGATGCTTCAGGGAAGGAAACTTGAGAGGACCTGAATTCATCCACTTGATCAATTAACTGAAGGGGGATTAGTTTTGTTAAACTTGATCTCATTGGAGGCACTCCAGTGAGTTGTTTGGGCTTTTTTTCAATGTGGAAGGAAGGCATCTGAGGGCTGCTGATGCACTCCCACTCACTCTCACTACGTACCAGCTCCCCTGCGTGCACTGGACCTTGGCAAGGGGAGGTGAGCCCTGTGGTGTCTGCCCAACCCTCCTGGCAATTCTGAGCAGGGCTGATGTCTGGGCTACAGCTAATCCAAATTTGTCCTTAAAGATCCAGTAAAGCTTCTGTCTGAAGCTCCACCTTCACTTTCTGTTCTGAGTGGCTGTGGACACTCGAGGGGACTGATACCAAGGGCCAAGAGTGGCCAGGGAGGCAGACAGGTTCAGAGCACATTTCCACTTACAGGGAATGGTACACAGGCCTCCAAGTGTCCACAGAGCCATATGCAAACTGCAGTGATGGGCAGATCAAAACCTCTACTTTGAGGACAGTATCTCTGGCAAATACACTCAAGTAGAGTCAGACATTTGTTCAGTAAACAGTAAGTGCATGAAATAAATTACCTTGGCAGAGCCATATTTGCTCCAAATGTGTGGTTAATGAGCAGATGGCTGCCATTCAAAGTACATTCACAGGAAAGGAAAGCGGGGCTGGGGCTTCTCACACAATGAACAGACACACACAGGTTTTCCAAAAAGTCGTTGCATATGGACTTCACTTTGTTCAACATGGATTTTGACCCCAAATGCAGACACTCCACCTCACAGCCTTGGATTTGTTTATTTTTCATACACATATATTTTTTTCTTCTCTTACTACAATGTCAATGCCTAGTCTGAATGTCATCATTTAAGAGTGGGTAAAGAACCAAACTCTTCATAGGAAGAAGGCTGGGCAGGAAATCTTAGTTTCAGCTGTTTGCTTTCTCCAATCAGATTATTCCTATCAAAGCTCAACTAGTTATCTGAAGCCAAACTATACAGTAATAAGGACCCTCTGGCCGGCTGCTTTTACCCCGTCCCTGGGCCACTTAGACTTTTTCCATAGGCTGCTACCATAGTTCCCTACTCATGAGGGTGGGGGGAGGGACAGGGCATGAAAACCACAGACAGCCAAGGCATTTTTTCCAAGTGGGTTTTTTTAAAGAAAGAAGGAAAACTTATTCAGAATCAAGAGAAAATACTGGGTGTGAGCCAGGTGATGGGGCTGCCCTTCCTTGGGGCCCACGGCCTCCTCATTTGCTCATATAGAACAGCAAGACATGAAGGCCCACAGACTGTGTGCTTGGGCTGCCGGGGTCCTGGTCACCCCGGGGTACAGACCAAAGGGCACAGATGCAGAAAGCTACACCTCTACCCACTGCCACAGCTTAGTGCTTCCTGTGCACCCACAGAAGTTCCAGGGACAGCCCCCACCTGAGCCAGTGCACAAAGCTCCTCCTCCTGGCTCCATCATAGCCAGGGTCTTTGAGAGCCATCTTGGGAAAGAGCCTCAGACTTGCCTTTTCTAAACAGAATTCTCGCCTGCCTACTGGCAAAGTTCTTGTTTTCAACTTACTTTTTTATTGTATTTTTTTAAAGAAAAACCAGAGAGAAGGCAGTACAATCTCATGCACCTGAATCAGTCTGCGGCCAGCCAGAACCTGCTGGGCAGGGCCCCTCAAGGATGCTCAGTGATGCCTCGATCTCGTCACCCAGAATTTGGAAACACAACAAGCCCCTACCCGTCTACCGCACAGCTGCCTGTCAGCTCGTCCTCCCATTGATTAGCCCAGGTGCAGCTGTGCAGACCCTGGCAGTGACGGGTAACAACCTCTGGGTCTCTGCGGGCTTCCTTCCCCATCCAGGGCTAAGCCCTGCTGACTCTCCCTGACTGAGACACAGCAAAGTTCTCCTACATGAACACCAGAGCAAAAATCCACTCTATCACCAAGAGTCATCTCAAAGCACAGTCTCAGCCCCTTCTTTGGGGGCTTCTAAAATACACATCTCTCCAACCCACGCCGGTTGTGAGGTATAACTTGGAAAGGTGAAAAAGGGGATAAGGGTGGGGTAGGAGGAGTTAGTCACAGAACCAACTTCTCAGCACTCCACAACAGTGCTTCTGTGGGCAGGAGAGGCATACACATGCCAAACTGTACCTGGAGATGTAGGAAAATGCAGGAGTGTAGGAGGAAAAAAAGAAAAAAACAAGGACCAAGTAACTGTACCACTTTCTTTGAAAATCACTTAATGCTTCTTTCTCACTTCTTCCCTATCCTGTTGCTTTTCCAAGTTCTCAGGTACAGGCAGGGCCTGTTCTAGCTGGGGGAGCTGCTGCTCAGGGGTCTGAGGAGTCCTGCTCATTGGTGGTGTTCACCATCACCATCTGGGGAGGCACAAGAGCAGCCACAGCAAGTGAGGTGTGCAGGACCTCGGGCCTGCTCCTCATAGGACTCGCAGAGCCCTTCCTCCTCATCACCAGGGGGCCACACATGGCAGCTGTCACAGAAGTCCAGCGTACCATCCAGAGCATCATCAATAAGTGTGTTGAACTCTTGGAGGTCATCGCTGCGGTGGCCCCTCAATGCCCAAGTCACACGTCAATGCCCAAGTCACCCATAATGTGGCAATGTCTGTAGAGTGTCTTCTCCTTGCTGTTGGGATGGGCACTGCCCTACTTGCAGCTGCAATCTTTCAGCAGCTTCTCCTTACATTCAGAATCCTTGTCCAGTGAGGCCCCACAGCCAGATCCCCCAGGCCAGCCACACAGCCACTGGGCTCCATTCCAAGGGCTTTGGTGGCTGCTAGGTTGACTGACATGTTGGTGTTAAAGGGCTCAGGGTCAGCGATGATGCTTGGAGGTCTCTTGCTGCTTGTGCTGGGCCCCCTGGAAGCCCTTGGTGGGACTGGCCCCTGGGGACTGCTACCTACAAGGCCACACTGTACAGGCGGCAGCTGCTATAGCTGGAAGGCATGAAAGAAAATGGCAGCACTGAGTAATTATGGGCTTCCCGGTAGGCAATCAGGTTGACTTCAGGCCACTGCTGGGCCCAAAGGTGGTGCCTGGGTGCTTGGGTGCTTGGCTCAGCGGTGGTGGTAAACACAGCAGCAGCTCAGGATGATAATGATGGTCCCCTCCAGCCAGAGCCATCAGAGTTCAGAGTTGTAATTGCAGCACTGAACCTATTTCCAGCAGTGTCCTGTTGTCACAGACGTAGCTTTGAGTATTGGTACCCACTCGGGTTTCCTTATGCTGTGGGGGTTCAGCCCTGGCTGACAGGTCTGGGCAGCGCCTGGAGGAGCAAGAGTGCCTGCCATCCTGGAGCCTTCTCCTCTCCATCCCCTTCCTGTGTCTCCTCCCCCTCCCTCTCTCCTCTGCATTCCTCCTATTATTATTTTTATTATTCTGAATCTTGGTGAGTTTGAAGCTAAGATGGGTTTGTTTACTTACAGTTAATGGATAGCAGAATACTTAGCATATATCAAGGGCTTAATAAATATTTACTGAATAAATGAGTAAATTAGGGTAAAGAAATGGAAAGATTTTTAAAAGGAAGGTAAATCTCCCCCATACCCGCCATCCTCCAGGGATGTTATAAGGACAAAGCAGTGTTCTTCCTGATTTCCTCCTCCACCCGGGAGAACTCACGCAAATTCTAAAGTCTTTTAAAATTACCTATTTGGAAGAATAAGGCTATTGGTTTTATGGTAAAAATTCCATTAAGAGGATTAAAAAAAAAACAGAAAAAAAATAACTATTGAGGGTAGCACCTTTGAAAGGATTTCTAAATTCAGGAATTTGAATTGCAGCTTGGATTCAAATCCCAGCTCTGCCCTTATTAATTGTGGGTCCCTGCCACATTCTCTGACCTCCCAAAGACTCAGCTTTCCACAGATACAAACCAGAGAAAACACTGTACAGACCTCATGGGCTCAGATAAGGCATGTAACATGAGGTCCATAGTAGAGGTACCACATGATTGTTAATTATCATTGCTTTATTCACAATGGATTACTGAATAATCAAGTTCTCCATTTTATTTAGAAAATTCCCTGCTCTGACATTACACCTTAGAACTCCAATCAAGCCAGGTCTCTTTTCAACCTATTCCAAATGATCATTTTTGTCTTGGTTGACAACAGACCTGCAACTCTCCAGGCCCTGGCCTAGATATCGTTTTAGAGATTTACCAGCTAAATTACAAGGTCCACAAAGACAGGAACTGGGTCTTTTCCATCTTTGAGTACCAGTGACCAGGATAATGTCTGGCACATTGGTGTGCTTAGTGCAGATTTTTTAAAATAAACAAACATGGCTAAATTATAGCAAGACAGTTCCAAGTCTCCTGTACTCACATGGGAGGGCCACACACAGCTCATGCCCTTCCACCTGCAGCTGTGAAAAGGACCATCCTCTCTGCAGAGGGTTCAAAGGAATTCAGAGAGCATTGTGAACAATAAAAAATAGGTAACATTTAATAAAATATGAGAAAACAGAAACAACTTGCCGTACTCAGCTGCTCCTGGTTCCTCCTCACTCTTTCTATCTCCGGGGTCATGCTCACGGGTGTGGCCCGGTAGCACTGCTCTTTGTACTGAAACTGGGAAACAAGGTGCAAGACACTGTGTGACTGTGGGGTAGAAATGGGCACCCACATCCCAGAACAGATGGCAGGAAGTGCACGTGCTCGAGCATTCATTAGTTAGGATCTTCATTGGGACTGCATAGCGATCTTGCAGTATGGGAGTTTTCCTGACCTACTGCATAGAGCGGCTTTCTTAGCCGGGGGATCAGACCCATCACTTTTGGTCAGTTTTCCCAACAATTGCACAACATCTCAGGAAATAAATGAGCATCCAATACAAAGAAAAAAATGGTATGTCTGTCCACTGAATTTCTGACAGGCAAAAGTAAAACTTGAGGTTAAAATCCCATTATAAGGAACTCCACAGAGACAGTCTTAGTGCTTTTTTTAAGTTTAAATTTAGCATTAGAGATTTCTTTTCCAAGAAATCACCAGGCCTATAGATAAAATGGAATCGAGATTCCACTCTAAACAGTGAATGTACAAGTGAAGAGAAATTTGATAAGCTTAGAAAATACTCGAGAAAGGGGCAGATCCCTTCTGCCATGTGGGACTTTCCTTGTGCCACGGTCTGTAGTTCAAGAGTTTAGACAGACTCTGGGTCTGGGATCATTGTCTGAGTTGAACTGAGAAAAGGTCTAGTAGAATCTTTACAGATGGCAAGACACAAGGAGGTGACTCTGGGTAGAACTCATTACAAAAACAATCTATAGAACAGGACTACTGATGTAGAGAGATGATTGTGGTTGATTTCTAGTGGAAGAAGGTTTGAGGACATAAGTTTGATGTGGAGACTGTCCACATCTTGTACTCATCCATTCACAAATATGCTAAGTGCTCTGCAGGCAACATCTCACTTCATACGCTAGTCCCTGTGTTATGGATGAGGAAATGGACGTTTGGAGAGGTTGGTGGCTTATGAAGGTTATAGAACAAGTAAGATCTGGAGCTGGGACTGAACCTACAGCCCAAGATCCACATTATTCCTTGTTATTCCAGCATTATCTAAATTCCCTCAATTTATACAACCCTTACCTGTATGCCATGCCAGATACCACTGTGCTGTGATTTATACTATTAGTTTTCATTTAATTAACTAGCTACTATTTTCTATTTAAGTTCTTTTTAAGGGAGTCTTATGTTTCTATGATAAATTGGGGACACACTAAGACAACTCAATCACAAAGTTGAGGTCCAATAATGGGTGGGCCACTTAACCATATCTATGTATGAAGCACATTTAAGGGACACTGTGGGACTCCCAACTGCCCCCTTATGACCTGGACCACTTCTCTCTCCACTGCCATCTCATGCCACCCTTCACCCCAAGTACCCATCACACTAGACCTTCCTTTCCCTCCTTGAACAAGCCTTGAATCCTGAATATATTCAGTTGCTCTGCCAGGATGGCCTTTCCCCACAAAGCCCACCCTAAACCCTTATAAATTCTTCAAGGTCTAACTCAAATGTCACTCTTTCTCCAAGAGTTTTCCTCTCTCCCACTGACACAGCCTTCCTTCTCTGCATTTCCACACTTTGCGAGAGGAATTATTACTTATTATTAAATGAGATATTGCATATAAAGTACCAAAAAGTAAACCCAGTATTAGTTATTGTTATAACACTTAAACAGTGCATAATTTTTTACTTAGTCTTATGTTTGTTTCTCCTAGAGACCTTGAGAATATTCACAGCCCCTAACTTACAGTGTGCCTCACTCATCTTTGAATTACCCCGAGAACAAGAACACAGTAGGAACTCAATGACATTTTTTTTCAATAAACAAATGCACACGAAGCATTCTGCTAGGTGTGATGGAGGACATAAAAATGTGTGAAATCTTGTCTCCACCTTTCCAGAACTGGCCCACTTGAATGGTTATCACTGTAATGGTAATTCACATTTCTAAGTGTCATGTATGGTGCTAGCCAGTAAAACAGAAAACAATACTTAGAGAAATGTGATCACACATTGCTGATATTCTTCTGGTTTTCTTTAACTCGCTTTAGCTCTGGAGGATCAGAAATGGCTGTTGCATGTTTTATCTCTTCTTTGTATTTCACCTGCATAATTTGTAAAAAATATAATGTATTATTTAACACAAGATTTTTAAAAAGTCAAGAATTCTTCATTTATAACTATTGCATAATTGAAATTTTATAATTCCAACATTAATTTTCCTTCCATAGGAACACAAATTTTTACTTTACACTTTTAATATTCCTTTCTGTACAGTGTGAGTAAGTCCAAACCTATTCACCTATCCATCATTGTAGGAATTTTTATTAAAGTGAGCAAATGTTGCTTATGAAAATAAATTTTATCACTAGGCAGATGCACAAAAGTCCTTGGAAATTATCTTAAGTAATATAACAATTTATGATTTTCTATCCAAAATGCAGTTTCTATTTATTAATACATTAATTAAAATTTACCATGTGTACACTTAAAGGCAAAAGTCAAATTGCATTAGCTCCAGAGTCTTGGAAGCACTGCTTATTTGACTGAGAGAATCCAAATAACCCAAAATAAAGAAAAAATATATATGTGAACACAACAAAAGAAGAGAAAGAGGGAGTCGGAGGTACACGTTCTAAAAGCAGAGGCTGCTGTGTCCTGACCACCAGAGAAAAGCCAGTGGCAGGAAGTCAGGAAGTGTCTTCCACCCACACAATCGCATTGAGGAAAGCCAGCCTCTATCCTGGTTCCCAATTCATTGAAAAGCTCCTCTTTCAAATCAACTCAACAGAACGCAATACCAGCACACAGTTGTGCATGGGACAAGAAACAGCTCTTTAACTTAGGAAAGGATTAGTGATGCCATCATGGCAGGTGTTATTTTAATATGTCTAAAATTCATGGAAGATCAGATTCAAGAGAAAGGACACAAATATATACTAATATGTGAAAACACAGGCTAGAGTTAAAAGGCACACATTAAAATTTCCCAAAGACTTAAATCTACAAAACACATTTTAGAAATCACTTGGTAATCCTTAAAGTGATTAAGGCTAAAATCTAAGCTGAGAGTCAAAAAAAGCAGTACCTAAATATCTCAAATATCATCTGTGTCTCAGTGACTGTGGATTTAATGTGAGTGAGAATGCCAATCTTAGTCTGGATCCAAAAGAGTTAAATTGAGAGGACACTGAAACAGGCTACCTCTCGATAAGATCCAAACATACGGCAGTTCTTAGACAAAGCTAATAGCTAAAACGCTTGTACTCTGGAGGTGGAAAATGTCGAGATCTTTAAATGTTAGAGAATCATATCTTGGTTTGACAGATCTAGCTAATCTTGAAAGGGCAACTTTCCATTTGAATACTAAGCAGGGGCTTATGGCCCAGCCTCATGGAAACACAGAGCTGTGCATTTATTGTTTGCTGGAAGGAGCAGTGGGACACTGGGAGGAGAAATGATAAACTGTACTCTCTGATTTTCCTCAGGTGAAAAGTTAAACATGACGACAGATGAATATTTTTGTTTTCCATATGACTCTACACTGATCAAAATGGCACAGTCATTTCACTGCAAGTGAGAGAATTGCATGCTACAGAACATTTATAACATTATATTCCAGTACACTGATGGATACATTTTAATATTATCATTTGGAAGTGAAAGAAACAAACATTTTACACTTCTCGGCCAAACCAATTTTTCTTCCCGGCCTGAGCGCTGCCTGAGACAGGCTCTCACCACGGTGGAGCACAGCACATTCACACACCCTCCTCATCAGACCCTTCCTGTGCTTTCCGCAGGAGATAGCTTCACTCAAGCTACGGAGATTTTATTGCACCGGTATTCTGTAGATAGTTTTTATAAATTTGTTTTGAAGTACATTTTACTATAGCATTGATTGCCTTTCCTGCTCTTTCTCCCCAAATGCCAGTGTATGCTCATATTCCAAAATGAATGCCACGTAACTATCTGAGTTCCTGACAGATGAGCTGCATCAAGGAATTTTTTACTTGGATTACTTAAAGAAAGGCTCTGCCTCCAAGGGTAAAAGTGGACAGAAGGTCAAAAAGGGGATTTAAGAAAAGAACACTTTTGATTTCCTCAATAAGAAACTAAATATACCTGGAAGAATACCTATTGAGGTGAGGAGAGCAATTATCCATTGTCCATGTCAGACAATTTTGTTCCTGTACCCAGAACATTAAGCACCTCTCCTACCCTTCCCCCAACTCAAAAGGACTTGGAAGGTAAGTTAATTTACAAATAAGAGTTAGGTGCATATATTTTTGATAGAAGATGGAAGAAGTAGAGATAAATGGGGCTTCTGAAACCTTCTCTTAAGCCACCAAATAAATGTTCTTTAATCATTCTCCAGGATAAAACTCCTTTCTTCCAAGTTGTGGAGAGTTAGTGAAATTTATCCTCTCTCTGAAAAATGTAATGCAGTGTAAATTCTGCTTAAAAAATAAAATCTAATCCTAGATTTCATGACTGTACTGTTAAAGTGATCAATCTCCTGTGCACTGTGATTTAGCAAGATGAAATACTGCTTTACACTGAGTTGGGTTCAAGGGGAACAAGGCTAGTTTTCCTTCTGAAAGTTAAATCTTTGATATCTGATGAAATAACATGTCAACAAAGTGAAGAATAAAGAAAAAGGCAACCAGTTTAGTAAAGAATGATAAATATCTATCTAACTTACATTTGCTTTCGGAAAGAATAATTAATGCCATAAAGAACTTAGTGAACTAATATTCTCCTGATTTTTCTTCACTCGTTCAATCTCTGAAGTACCTTTTACTGCTGTGCCAGCTCCTACTTCTTTCTTATTAAACAGCTTTATTATAAGAGAAGGAAAAGAATAGCTATACACTTATTAGCATCTGAGCCCTAGACTCGATTCTTATTAAAGAAAAACAATTTCTCAGGTCTTAGAGTACTGTGAATACAGCTTCTATGTATGAGTACCAATGACACGAATCAACTAAATAATCCATTATGAGAATGAACGTCCAACTTTGGTTTCATATGCCATAATCTCACAAGTAACCCTCTTACACATGTTCTAGGGCATGCTTAGTATTTTATATGGCTCTAGATTTTTTACTCTAAGAATATAAGTTGGAAAACTAGAGTTTTTTTCTTCAAATATAAATGTGACCTAAGTATTGAGAAAAATCAAAGTGCATATTATAGAAGCTCACTAAGCAATTATCATTTAATTCAAAAACAGCATGAAATTTTAAGGGTGTTATTCTCCAAACACAGAGATGCCCCTGTTGTTCTCTTCAAAGAAAATATTAGCTCTATCTTCAACATCAACATAATTCAGTATTTTCCTCATCTTTTATTTGTTAACCTCCTCACATTTCTCCACCTCTACCAACACCTACCCCTTTCAAACACAAAGCAAAAAAAAACAAAAAAAAACAAAAATGCTCTACAAAAAAAAAACACAAAAAAACAAAAACAGAATAATTCTAAGGAAGCCATGAGGACAGAACAAATCCTTTTCTTGATAGACCATAATCCAGAAGACCCAAGTCAGGGCTGGGGGAGTGCAGCATGAAGACATTTTCTTCCAAAAGCCAGAAATCTATGTACCATGAAATCACAGGAGACAAGGGCCAAAACACAGCCTTTTCTCTGACCCTGCCTTCCAACTGGACTCCACTGCTTAGTACAGCCTGACTATGAAAACCTAGAGGTACGTGTCTGGCATCTGTGCTTGTCAACTTATTAGAAAGCAGAAAATATTCCAGAAGTCATTAGGCTTAATAGAATTTATATGTTGATGGGACATTTGCTTAGCTACTAAATGAGCTAATTCTACATTAAAAATGGCTGTATGGTCAATTTTTATCATTTTAGAATTCAAATTCATATATCCATTAAACATAGACCCAATCTCTTAATTAATGGTGCTGATATAGTTCTTACTGCTCAAAATAAAAAATATGAAAGTTTAAGAATTGGTTAAAAACTAGTAAATTCGTAGATATATTATCAGTGCAAAAAACTCAATGACTAAGAAAGAAATCACTTCATATGACTATTTTCATCCTCAAGTTAAAATCCATGTAGAAGATTAAGACCTCTTTCCCAAGTGAAATTTTAATACAATTCAGTTAAAAATAACTGTAGCTTGTACCAAAGAAGAAAAACTTGAATTTGTAATTCTAAAACAATCATAATACATTGTAACTTAAAAGAACATTTTGTATTCTCATTAAAGACATAAAGATAATGCATTTGATAGGACATTCAAGCAATGCAGCAAAAACTTAGACAATGAGGGAAAAATAAAATTAAATTTCAAGGAGGCAACTGAAAAGAAACAATATCTACTCACTGCACTGATGTTTTGTTGAGTTGTCTTAATTCTCTGAATTTCAGGAGTATCTGCCACAGTAGAATAGTTAGAAAGCATCTTCTCTGCTGCATCTTTATACTTTTTCTAGAAATATGAAGTTAATATCAATCTGAAACGTTGCATGCATATGTGCATGTATGAAAGAGACAGAAACAGAAAATGAATGTGATGCCACTTCCAATTCCACTATACCACAAGGCTGTAAGTTGTGTTTTATGACTCAAAGCAGTTGTTGATGCAACCACAAAAACAAAGGGAGTATGCAAACAGAGTAAGCCAACAGTGCCAGAAGCATCTCTGCTCAGGTCGTGGTTGCCACTCCAGTCCATTCCACGGCCTCGGGAGGGCTGGGCCTTGGTGCCACTCTGTTTAGAACCTACTCTTTCACGAGCAGTCTCATCCCTGTTCGAAGTTGCTCCATAGTTCCCACAAGGCACCTAGCTCTCTATACCTACTTGCTTCCATGCTTCTGGGTTTAGGTTTTGCTTCCTACTTCAAATTAAGATACATTTGATTAAGGCAAAGAAGATACTTTGCCTTAAGATAAAAATTTCAGTTTTTATCTACTAAATGTACTATTATGAGCTCTGATACAACTTGGGTAATACCTCCCACTAGTACCAGCATTTAATAATACTTCCTATGTAATAGGTATTGTTGTAAGTACTGAACGCACATTAGCTCATTTAATTAAGTCACAGATAGTATCATTATTTCCTCTTACTGATGGGGAAACAGAATCATTAACTAAGTGTCAGAAGTAGGATTTAAAACCAGGTGCTCTAATTCCCAAATCAGTAATGTTAATCATTATGGCATACAATTACTTGTTAGGAAAAGTAATTATTTCTCATGTTGAAATGCACCATAGCATTATCACATCCTCTAGAACTCCATTGTATGCAAAATAATTAAAATTCCTTAAAATCAGATGTATCCTGGTATCACACTAAAAAAAATCAACACTGGTAAGTTAAAACAGAAATTCTGACAGCCCACGCATCACCTCCTCTGGAAATCCTTAACTCTTGAATCCTTTACTTTCTGGTAGTGTATATCATGGTTTGTAATACTCTACTTGCATGGTTATTTGATAATTAGATTACCAGTAGCTCCACCAGAGCAAAACAATATCTAATTTTGCATGTACGCAGGTACTCATTTGTTGAATGAATGAATGAGCTTGGTATTCTTAAGACAGCAACTTCTCTCCATTGACTTTAAATGCCCATTTGTCTAGTTTATGCATTTATCTAAAAGATTACTTCAGCTGATACAGTTAGAGCCAACTTCTCCAAGTTCACATGTGCCATCATGAGACACCGAGGACAGATGAGCATGCACATCTGGACCATCCCACCTGCTGTTTCATCTGAGGAGGTGGAGAAGCAGGCAGCTCCTCTGACATTTGCCTCTGCCATCTCGATACTCACAGTTTTTAGCCACCAGATGTTTAGACTCCTTCCTTATGTTTTAACCAGAATTTTAACAAATTTGGACAAATTTGGTTAAAAGTTACTTCCAGTATAAATTGCATTAACCAAATTTAGTTCCTTGGTCAATTTTCTATAACCATTTTTTTGCTGCACTACTTATTTTCCTTTGGGATTTATTTTCGCATGCAAATTTTATAGCAAGGAAATGTTTCACTAATGAATATTTTTGCTCAAATCAGATTTTAATTCTTCTCTCATTAAATATTTTCTTTTGTGATCATTATTTCTCCATACCAAGTTTTTCTAGAGGATAAATTTGGCATATTATATCTCACCAAGAAAACTTAGTTCTTAATTTTGAGTTAATATTCACTTTTTCACCTTACACTTTGTGTACTTTTTTATTCACTCAGTTTTAGTTGGAGCTGATTATTTTAATGATAATATTCATTATAAAATGGGTAAAAGACAACTCATTTGTAATTTTGTTTCTGTGGAGTGAACATTAAGGCCAAGTACACAATAGAGTTTGTTTGTTTGTTTGTTTGTTTGTATAAAGGGTCAAAATGTCCTTGGATGCAAAATAGGGGCCCGGCAGTTTAGCTCTGATGGGGAGTAAGGCCTGCTGAATTGGATCTGCAGCAGCCACCCCCCTCATTAGAGAAGTTCATTAAAACTTGGCTAGTGGTTCCTTTGCACAGAGTGCACTGACTTTGAATTCAGTGCCCCCAAAAAGGTATCAGTCATGGAAATGCACAAAACACGAGGTGACTGGACACTGGAATACATTGTTCCGAGCAGCTTAACTCTCTACTAACCTGGCTATAGATTTCGGATGCCCTCTTGGCTCGAAGCATGTCTGGAATGTCCATACTCACTTGCATCCCTTTCCCTTTGATTTCGCTTTCCAAGTCTTTCTTATATTCTATCTAAAATAAAAAATAAAATAAAAAACAAAACAATCTTCAGGGCTTTGCTTAGTCTTCCATAACAATGTAGATATTTTTGTGTTTCAATCTCAAAGCCATATGTGCAGAAATAACATTTACACTTTTTCTATGTACAATTCAATGTGTTTGTGTTAAACTTAGTATGTCATTTGCTTCTCACCTGGCTGGCCATTTCAGATGCTTTCTTGGCTCTCTGGATATCAAGAGTGTCTGTGCTCACCTGCATGCCCTTCCCTTTAATTTCAGTCTCCAGATCTCTTTTATAGTCTTTCTACAGAAAATAAAACATGCCATTAGGGCTCTAAAATAATTGATATCAATTAGGGCTTGAAAAACTTGATGTCGTTTCAACATCAGAATCATGACTTTTGGAGATATGCTGGACCTTTTTTCTATAGAACTACAGGGCTTTAACTTATGGTAGAAACATGACTTGGAACAGCTTATACATAATCAGGAGGCTTTCTTCTACTTACCTGAATTAAGAAAGAAAATATAGTCAACCCAGGGGAAATTTTATATTTCAATATGATAAAAGTTGATAAATTATATGTGAATATATCACTCAGTTAATGAATATCAATAGAATTGGATTGTAAAACTGTTGCTCTGTAGTGAACAATTGCTGGTTGCTTCCCTGAAACTCAACCCCTCTTTTCCCTTCTTTAGTTGCCTGACTTACCACTGCTCCCCCATTCTGAGCCACTCAGCTTGGGTGAGACTGAGCAGATGCATGGGCCCTGGGGGATTTAAACCAGTCATTATACCCTATCCCTGGCTCTTCATGACTGGTTCAGGGATGGTGCATTTTTTTTGCATACAAATTTCAGAAGACACTTTCTTTCCTTCTAGACATGAAGGAACTAGCCCCAGGAGCTGCTAGATGCCCCTTTGCAAACAGAAGAAAGCCTAAGAATAGAGAGATAGAAACTGAAACTGAATTACATTGTTTGAGACCTAGATCAAGCTATATCTAAGAATTCTTCTGCTGTTTGGTACAAGAACAAAATAGTATCTGCTTTTTCGAGCTAGCTCAAGTTGGATTATGTGTTACTTCCAAAATAACGAAATGACATGCACAAACATATTAAGATACTCTGGTCATACTTTAAAACTAAAGATTATAAAATTTAGCATGCTGTACACTTATAATTGTGCACTTTTCTGGATGCATGCTATTCTTCAATGAAAAACTTTATTAAAAGAAAAAAATTATTGACAATCTGTAATTATATTTCTTCCAAACCAGTTATTTCCCATTGTGTTGACATATTTTTGATTTGCAGAAAACTGTTTTAAAGTAAATGTTGTCTTGCTTATTTATGATGTTCTAAATTTAAAGAAGTTGTAAATAAAAACCTCAAACTCAGAGAAATATATTTTTCCTATCTTCCACTCATAAATCTGCCTATTTTACTCTGAGTCTCAGTTTTACTTTTCTGAGTAAGAGTTCAAGTAATAATGTTTAAATGTCAAAAGAATAACATTAAATTATTGCTATGTCTAAAAAAGCTCTAAGTTTTTAGTAAACTTCTTAAGACTCCAAAACAATATACTTCATTTGAAGGACAATAAGGGCAGGAACTGATCCACTAGTCATACACAGCCACCAAAGTCACATGGTAGAAGGTGAATCATTTAATTTTCCAACAGGAATGTTCAAATCTAAAAACATCTTTAAGCCCATAAATAGACTACACAGGACACTAGTTACATCAGTTATTTATTGATGTATACTAAAATATCCTAAACTAGAAGGCTTAAAAAAACATGATAACATTTACATTTCAAGAGGGCACTTCCTTTTAGAGTCTGCCTGAGCCATGTTTATTATTTTCCCACTACTAAAGAAAATCACATGGTCAAACCCTTAGCTCCTGGATGGCTTGGCTTTTGAGGACTGCTCATTCATATATGGCAACAATACACCACATTGACTTTACTTGAAAAAATAAACTTGGTACTATGACAACATCCCAAACTCTCACTGAGAAGAATCTGAGAACCTGTCATTTGGGCAAAATGGGACATGCAATGATTATATGCAAATGAAACCTTTGGATTGCAAAGATAACAACATCTGGGCTAAATATAACCATAGTACAGCTGACTCCTCTAGGCCTGTTTTTCCCCTATGTTCTTAATAACTAAATATGTACCATTTTCCTTTTATACAATCCCAAGATATATGGAGAAATCTAAGTCAGTACATCATTGACTAAAATAATCTATTACCTACTAAAGAAAGACATGACATAAAAGTAATTATGTCTTGGAAGACTGTTCTTAGGTAACAGTGTGAAACACAAAATTTCTGTTCTTTCCACATTCTTTTCTCCAGCAAAAGGATGCTTTCTTTTGGCTTCAACTCTCAGACCATGAGGATGACTTTGAAAACTCTTCTGCAGCCCTGAATTATCCTGGCCCCATATTCCAGTCTAGTACCTTGAACTAGCACTGGATGTCACCCCTCCTCAAAAAACAAAAGTTTCAGAAAATTCTGAGTAGTGATTTGATAGTTACTCGATAGTTAGTTATTCAGAAGTCCTAGGAGGTCACCATAAGAAAGTATTATTAAATCTAAGAAACGAATAACAAGAAAAAAGTGCAAAGAAGAACCAACCATGCAAAGAGCATGAGAAGGACTTTCAGGGAGTCACCAGACCCTAAAGCCTGTAGGGGTGCAAACTCGAAGCCTGTGAGGCTAGAGCACGATAAACAAGGGAAGCAGGGTGCAGGGTGAAGATGGGCAGGAGGGGGAGCTTGAATGCCAAAGCAAGGAGTATGACATCTATGCTGGACATGACTGGAACCCGCTGAAAAGTTTTAAGTGGGAGGAGCAACAATTTTATTCTTTAAGGATGCTTCTGGCTGGTGGGCAGAGAATGGATACTAAGGGAGAAAATTCTGATAGGAATCTATTGAATAACCTAGGTGGCAGAGATGGTAGCTTGGGCTAGGGTGGGGAGAAGAGGATGGCTTTAAAAAACCATTATGGGATGGAAACAATAAAACTTTCTGACAAGTGGAATCAAAGTAACTTCTGGGATTTCACTAATGCCATTTGCTAAGAAGGAGGTCTAAGAGAGAAGCAGATCTGAGGAAAAAGTAGAGGTTCTGGTTTGGGTATGTAATGCTGAGTCCCTGTTATAATACATTGTATATGCCATTTACACATAGTACTACCTATGAGACATCAAAAGGTAAGTGGTTGTATATTCACATCTATGTTACATAAAACTGAATTTTTCTACAAAAATGAGGTAGAACTATATGAACTGACATGAAAAAGGGACTGTAATATTAAGAGAAAAAAAAGCACAGAACAAAGTATGTAGTATTTCAGTTTTTTAAGACTGCATGTGTACAAATGTATGTTTATCCATAGCTACATAAATACAGATGTGGAAGGCTCTATAACAAATTTATAACAATGGTTATCTCTTTGGGGGAGAAAAGAATTAGGGTCAGGGTAAAAAGAGGTTTTTAAGACTTGTTTAGTATGTATCTCTCCTCTGCCATTTCTAAATGGAACCCCTATTGGTCAAGAATTTATTGCCATCCCCAGTTTCTCTATGTAAATCCATGAGGGCCATCCCACCCCCTTGGCAAGTACCAAACCCTGGGCAGGTCCCCACATACCAGCAACTCCCCTGGCAATTAGTCAGCTACTTCCACCCTTCATATATCCAGAGTGGGAGTCAATCCTGAGCCAGCTCTTGAAACTGCAAGTGACACTTTATAGCTCTCAGAGTAGCCCCACTGTAGCATCCCCATAATCAGCCTGGATATAAGTGAGCAGCACCCCTTAACCAGCACCCCAACTTTCTCTTTACATATGCTTCTTATAAAATCATCTCTTCCCCAATACTCTCCACTCCAAGGACCCTTTTATAATCTTGAAAGTTTGGGGGTAAGGAACCAGGTATGGAACCAATTCTGGGGTACTTCCTTTGAAAAGCATATATATGGTCTAACTCCTACAACTTTGTTATCTGATATCTATCATTATCATAGCATCTAAGCCCAAACTTCTGAATTAACGCCCTGTCACTACACATATTACATAAAGAGGAATTGGTGTTCGACAAATGAATGTGGTCATCGAGGATTGATAACACCTCAACCCCACATGCCCACTCCGGAGAAATGGCCGGCATGGTGATGTGGCCAAGAGACGATATTCTGAGAACATGCAACCAAGTCACACAGAAATGCCTATCAATGCCATGTTAGGGTCTTCATATGTGATTTTCAAGTTATGCTTAGAAACTTGGAAACACAGAAATGTCAAGTCACACACGATCCATCCTTAAAGAAAAAGTGGTATGAAAACATTTATCACAGCCTATGTTAACATGAAATTCACTATATTATAGGATAAGGTGTGTATGTGCATGCACATGTGAGTGTGATATTAAAATGTCCTTCCCCAAGTTTTCTCTGATATTTTTAAAAGAACTGAGCAAAGCAGAAACTGTAAATTTTCAAATAATCATAATGATTTGAAATGGTTTCCAATCCAAACTGTTAAACTAGTCACAGAAAGCTTTGGAAAATTACATGTAATAATCAAGTTACTAATACGACTTGTTAGGCTCTAAAATATGGATCTCAAGGTCTGCACCACTTACTCAACTAACCTGTGAAGCTATCTCTGAGGCTTTTCTGGCATGTTGTATTTCAAGGGCGTCAATGCCAACTTGCATTCCTTTCCCTTTAATTTCTGACTCCAGGTCTTTCTTGTATTCTTTCTGTAAAATAGCAACACTTTACAACATTCAGACACTCAGGGGATAAACATATATCTGTATTCAATGATACCAAAAAGTGGCTAAACATATTTAATAAAGAAAAGAAGAAAAAAATCACAGCTTACTTTGTGCTATGAATGATCATTGAAAGCTAAACTTTCTAAACTGCTTAGAACTATAATCATTATTCTCACTACAGAAAAGTATATGAAACTGAGTATTTTTACTATAAGACAACTTCCAGATGAAAATCTTCACTGACAGTTGTCTTGGGGTCTGGAGAATAGAAAGGCAGGTTTAAGTGAGTGGATGTTGTAGAAAGAAGACTGACTTTGATAGCTTGACAGCTGTGTGACGCTGGGAATGTTTCTTAACCATTTGGTTTACTGATCTGCAAAATGGGGATGACTCCTCATGCAGGATCACTGTGAAGTATGTTAAATAACTGGAAACTACTTCTGCTCTTTTACTGCTGTACCCGAATATTAAGACCTGATCTATTGCTGCTCCTGCCACCATCTTGCCATTCAACTGCATCTGCCCAGACTCTGCCACTGAGAGTTCAAGACCATTTTTCCAAGTATTATTGACCAATGATTACAAGGTCTGCCTGTGAATGTGTAATGGACGTGTCACCATAATAGAAAAACTTGTAGAAATGTATAATGACAATAACAGCCAAAGGTCATAGTGATCATCTGTTGTTTTTGCCTGACCAGTGTTCATTCCTCCTTCTGCAAAGAGTTTCATCAGTTTCTTTTCAGGAATTACCTCAAACCCTCTCAAGCCACACATTTTGGGTGGGTTGATTTCTCCTCTTTGCACATGCATTTTTAATTCCACTAAAATGCTCTTAGTGGTTCCTTTAATTTTCTTGAAGAACATGAATATGGTTAAAGATGAATGTAAATTTTCTTAAATATATAACAACTTAGAATATTTCATAATTAAAACATAGTTAAACTACCTAGGAAGTTAACTACACAAATGGGTGACCAGGAGAACCATCCCAGGTCATTACAGCCTCCTGCCCTCAGACACAAAGACTGAGTCAGGTAAGGGCACAGGACAGAAGGTGATTGAATGAGATTCAATCTTTGGACTTAAATTACAACTATAAGAGAACAGGTGCTCACTTCCCACTGAGACTACTGGCCACAGAGATGAGTCATCCTGTCCTTACGAGGGGCTATTACTTAGAGATAGCCTCCCAAGAGTGAAGCAGCAGAGAACATAACAGAACAAAGAAATGAAAAAGAGAGACATCATTTGAATTCCAACCTGAAGGAAACTTGATTTTTGGACTTCTCTAGTCATAAACCAAAACATTTCCTTTGTGGCTTAACCCAGTTTGAGTGGGGTTTCTATCCTTTGCAATCTGACCAATAGGGTCATCATCATTATCATCACCACACATTTATTAATACAAATGGGTATGAAGCTCTGAATTTTTTCACTGCTAAATTCAGCTAGATTCTCCTCAAAACACAGTGTCATTATTTGATATCAATGTAATGACATAAGACAAGAATTAAAGGACTGAAAGCATATTGGAGGCACTTCATTCCTTCTCATCAATGTCATGTAAAGTGAGAAGTGGCCACTTTCGCATCATAAAGAGATTTAACTAGACCCATGCCACATTCTGGGCAAGGACTGGAGATCCCGTTGGGCTGTGAGCAGTGAACCTCTAAGCTGCAGTGACCGACAGACCATAATGACACAGCTTTTTCATATTCTGCCTTTTGCTTGCTTAAAAGATAAAGTTACATCTCATAAATTTATTTTGGTTTATAATATAGATTTGTCTCTAAAAATGGGGAAATATCATTTTTCTCATATCATATTAAAAGAAACAATGAGCACTGCTTTTTAAAATTAATTGATTGAGAAAAGACTACTGGGACATAGCTACCCATAGTCATCTTACACGTAAAAGTTGTGAAATATATCTTGTAGATATATTTTACCTATAAAATATCTATTAAATTTATATTTGTACCTATTAAAATATACAAAATCTTTGAGAAAAATTTATAGATTAAAAATCAGCTAAATATTCATCCATTTTCAGTTGTTAAATAAATATACTCACCTCACTAGCCATTTCAGATGCTCGTTTTGCTCTTTGAATATCAAGAACTTCTGAATTAAGGTCCATTCCTTTCCCTTTTATTTCATTTTCCAAATCTTTTCTATATTCCTTCTGTGAGACAAGAATATTACAATCTAAAATTTACTGAGAAACTCTTTTTAACTTGTATACTGTTTTATGTATTTTCTAAAAACCATAGAAAGGAGAAACTGTTTTTAGGAAGGAATGAATCAGACTCTGAGGAATTTCTGCTCTTTATTTCCTACAGAAATTTTCTCTTTTAAACATATTTAGTCCTGGCTGGTGTGGCTTACAGGATTGAATGCTAGCCTGCAAACCAAAGGGTCACCAGTTCAATTCCCAGTCAGCGCACATGCCTGGGTTGCAGGTCAGGTTCCCAATAGGGGGTGTGAGAGAGGCAACCACACACTGATGTTTCTCTTCCTTCTTTTTCTCTCCCTTCCCCTCTCTAAAAGTAAATAAGTAAAATCTTTAAAAAATATTTAGAATAGCTTCCAATATTATCACCATTTTCCCTTTCATTCTTTCTTCTAATGTATTTTGGTACCACACTGGTGCCACATTTTTAAAAAGATGTCCTCCTTTAAATGGTGAGGAAGATCTTAGGAATACATGTTTCTTATTAGTCATTTGAAGTATTTCTTTGAAAACTGTATAAAATATGAATCACCAAAAGAACACAGCTAAAAAAGAATGGAAAATTACAAAATCAAAAGGATTGGTGTAGCCAAAGTTTTAAAATAAGTTTCAATTTTATTCAAGGATTCATAAAAACCAAATAATTTCCTACAGGTTGATAATATGTGGTTTGAATTTCACCTATTTTAATATTATATTTTAAATAGATCCAAGTGACTTTACTAACATATGTATAACTTAAGTCTTTGGTACTAATGAACTTCTTGTTTTCTTACTAATTGCATTATCAAAATAATATCTTAATCCAATTTGACTAAGCTGCATTTATGACTAACTTGACAGGTGAAAGATGAGACTTCCTTTAATGATAAGAAATCATGTTCCAGTTAATTCTAGGGTTCATTTCATGCTATTTTCTCTTTGTCCAGTATAATTAAATTAGCTGGTCCCCTGCTTAACTAATAGTCTACCAGACATTGTAATGACCTGCATGTAATTTTGGAAAGAGCTCTGGCGTCAAATGACCTGGAAGAGAGTCAGAGCTCTTCCAATAATTTGGTCATGCGACCTTCAAAAGTCTTTAAGTAACTGAGCCTTGACTTCCACGTGGGCAAAATGAAAATAAAAATACTATGCTGCCAATGTTAAAGGACAATTGAAGAAATAAAATAAAAATGAAGCATAAAATGATACTCTGAACACTCTAAATGGCAACATAAATGTAAAACTATAATAAAATAAAACATGCAAAGACTATTTAAAGCTAAATGCTTACACTTAGAAAGGGAAGTTACACTTTTATTAAATCTCTAAGAGCCCCTTTTTAAAATTAGACATCTCTATAACTTAATTGAAAGATTCTAAATCAAAGACTTCTGGGCCTTTTTTTTGCTATCCTACTGAATCAATAAATCTGAAAACAGGAAAAGATTCACTCAAAAAGAGGAATAAAAGAAAAAGGCAATGGTGTTATATTAAAGCCATTTATGGATCTCAAAATAGACCTCATATTCTCATTTGTATGTAAATAATGAAAAGATTCCCCTTTAAAAAATTCACATAATAGTGTATATTTTTTTAAGTGGAAGTCAACAAAAATGGGAAGTTGCCATTTGATTAGCCTTCAACTTCAAAACACCTGATAGGAACAAAAGTGAGAAAAGATAAGGTAGCAGAAAAACTCTCCCATAAATTATACGCCTGTTTCAGCCCAACGTATATTACAACAGTGAATCACATTAAATGCGTAAAAGCAGTTAAATGACAAACGCCAGTTGGCACTTGATTTTTAAGATGATGCATGTCTATGTAGATAATTATACTCATTCGTTTCACTGGTTTAAGACATTTCTTTCAGTAATGATTTCTTCAGTTCAAAATTCAGATGAAATGGAGTTCTTTGATGCGTTTCTTTAATGTAAAGACACTCTATTTAAATAGAGAGTTGGAAGAGTTCCAGCTTACTTTGCAGGCATTTTAAAAAAAGGGAAAACTTTTAAAGGGATAGATGGTGAACATAGTATTTTTAATTGCTGGGTATGAGGACCTTAATGCTCAATAAATTTAATACACTAATTGTGAGCCAAATGCACCACTAAATTTGGGGTGGGGGGGGGGAATCCAAATGAGAATAAAATAAAACATGGACATGAGTGTTGTATTCTGTGTGCTAGATATATTATTTTCCCCACTGTACATCGAACACAAACCACTTATAAATAATGTAATGTTTATCCAGACCTTCACACAGACGCACCTTATTTCTGACATCAAATGCCATGAGAATGCTGCAGGGAAGTTTACGAAAATGCTCGTTCTAATAGGAAAGTGAAAAACTCTGTTACTAAAGGTCAATGTGAGGGAAAGAGAATGGATTAATATCTAAAACTCACTGACTTAGTTGTGAATTGTTAACCAAACACTTGCAGGATCATTTCTTTAGTTTTTAGTTTTCTTTTGCAATATTTAATGGTAATTATCAGGATCTTACCTCCTTCAGAAGGTTGGTGATGTACTTTGCATGTAAAAATTCTGGAGTCTTGTCTAAATCCATTGACGACCTTCCTTTAATCTCTTTCTCAAAATCCTCCTTGTAAACTCTCTGTTAAATAAGATGACATAATTTTTAAACTAACGAGATACTAGTGACTGTTGAAAAGGTATTTGAACAAGAATCCTCAGAACAAAACTGGTATTTTTCTTATACAATTCTACCACCTCAGAGTCTTCTTATCAGCAGGACAATATCTCCAACTTCATCATAAATTTCAGAATTCCACCAAACAATGGCAAAATCTTCAAGTACCAGCTCCCTCTGGGAAAGCCTTCTGAGTGGGGCTGCCTGACATCTTACGGTCTGTTATTGTTTGACACCAGCCCATTTTGGAAGGAGAACCAATAATGTTGGCTGTGTGATTGGATCACCTGACTGGTTCACTCAAAGGAGAATGGATCCATCCATTGGAAGAAAATCTGGCAGCAGAGAAGCCATTCCAATCAAAGCAGTATTAATGTTCATGTTTTCATTACCCTTCGCACTGTCTGAATTCAGGAAAGACCATTTCCGAAATGTAATGGAGGCAGGAAGGGAAGATTTTCCTTTAATGAGTTGGCATTGAGGATATGTTTCTACCATCTATGGAATTTGATATCAATCAAGTTACACTGTGAGGAAAATCTTACCTTGAACCTGATAAATTTTTCTTTAGGTAAGAGTTCACATGGGCAATGAAAGACGCTGGTAGTGACAGTGGAGTCTAAATCCATGTTCTCATCAGCCCTCCTGACACTCAGCCACCCCTGGGCTATGATTCTCTCAACTCTACCATTTGAATTACGTATTTGCAAATCAGTAAAAACCCATGTTTTATGACTATAAATATAGTCTGAATAACAAAAATATCCATCCATGTGAAATATTTGCCACCTATATATTTTTTTACCACCTATATATTTTATTCAAATTGTATCACAAAGATGATAAAATAAATTCTGTATGAGACTGTCATTAAGGCAAAATGAAAAGCTTTCTCCAGGTTCACCATGTACTTATTACAGAGATAAGTAATTCTGTAAAGAAATGCTCCACACCACAAGGGAGAGAAGAGAACAGGATGTCTCCTCATCTACATCTGTGTTACATAGTTAGCAAATAATCTGGGTGTGGCAAGAGAAAAAGCCACAGTGGACATTCTATAAATACTAAAAATAACAAAGCTAATCAATAAGTTGCATTGAAAACATTCTGAGTTAAAGGAATTATAGACACACCAAAGAACAATAATGAATTTTCCTATAGGACTGGATCTAGGACATTTTCAGGCCCAAAATGACTCATTCAAAAAGTGGAATATAAATATATGCATATTGATATTATTTCAAATATTTCACTTCAAAAAGCCCTTCTCCTCTATAAAAAATTATTTCACTAAAGTAAGTCATTAAGGAAGGTTGATTATGACTAAACCCAGCCAAGACATGACCAAGAGGGAAAAACTCTTCATATGCTTTTTGTTAGGAGAGCTCTATTTGTGAAACAGAAACCAAAGAACTTTTCAAAACCCGATTTAGAGATTTCTTCTAGCAAACACACTGTATCTGACAGTAGAAGAAAGCGAGAGAGGTATAATTATTGGCTATAACAAAAACATGAGTGGCTGTTCCCAAGGTCATCAATACTTAGCTTTACTCATAGGAGGCTCCCAAAGTGGCTTCTGGTCAAGTTTCTCTGTTACAAGTAAACACCACTTGTTTGTATCTACTTCACTGGTATTGCATTCAAAACATCCTTCATATCAAAGTTTGTCTAAGATGTTTAGATATTTTACTTTTCTAACATAAAATTTTATACTAAATTACATAGTATAAATCTTTATAGTGTAGATTTGGTCCAAAGATACTTTGTATTGGAAAATTTATTATTCCTCCAGTCCTGCTGAGCTAAAACATAATGCTAAGCCTAAAAGTCTAACTGCCAATGGCTATAATTGAAGAGAAGTTATGTGTTAGTCTCTGCAAAGGACAATTCCTCCCTAGTAACAACACCAGAAGTCAGACTAGCAAAATCTGAAAGCCAATGTTAACAAAAGGTGTACACAGGCCCCATTGTAAGTGAATTCTTGATCATCTAATAAATGCATAACTACAATTAAACATTAAAGCTGATTTACACCTCATGTCAAAACAGCCAACCAACAGCAATGAATTTTGACTGATTTTTTTGTCAGTTCTCAACGTTTAATTTTCCTTTTGTTCTACAGAGCCACAGCAGTGGTAAAAGCCAAGTGCCAGCTATCAGGCTTTGCAGTCTGCACAAGCAGACATGTACATAGGGTATGCAGCACTTTACCAGTGCTGAGGGCACCTTTGAAGGCCCTGTCATCTGGGTAGTGAAATTTGTACTTGGCGAATTTCTTCTTTTCAGGGTCCATCTCCAATGGGAAAAAAATCATCTGAGCAGTTCATGTAAATAAAGACAATTTAGTCTACATTGCCCATTGATTGATTCTTTGAGAAGCAAATATCTGTATGCTTTGGGGCTTATAAAGATGTAAAATATAAAAAAGTAATTATTTTTTCTTCTCTTGCTTGAAGAAAAAATTAAACAACTTAAGACCATTCGACAAGCCACAGTAATGTCTGAGAACCCTTTCCCGGATAAGGTGAATTATAGCATCTCAACAAATAGCACATGTAGTGTTTACAAAATTCCTATGAGAGTTTTATAGTCCAGAAGTTATCATTTCTCCTGTGTTCCTGTCGTTAGTGGAGAATAGAAAAGGTCTTGTCCATGGAGCCTTCCTGGAGAGGAGTGCTGGCATTGTAATCGGCTGACACCACCGCCTACTACTTCTAACCTGTCCAAGGAATACCGTGGTTGTACTTACAGAACTGGGTGTGGGCTGCAGACCTAACCTTCTGTGTCTGGCATCTCCCCCACTCCCAACAAAACCAGAAACAGAAGAGATTTCACTGGCACAGAGAGCAGAGCCAGTGTGGGGAATATGTGGATGTGACTTAGTGTCATCATAAGTACAGAATGACACTTTCTCTAAGTGGGGAAAAAAAAAACAAAACAAAACTGATGACTTTGCCCAGGTCCTAAAACACTGGCATTTACTGGATATGTAATTTCGGGTAAAACAATTACTTTCAGTGGAGTCATTACCAATCTAGGGATGCCCACTTGGCATCATTACATTACCGTAAAAGGATTAAATGAGCTGATATAGATAAAGCACTTAGCATATTACTTAGCACAGACTACTTAGTATTGAATAAGTATGGAATAAATGTTAGTTCTACTGTGACTGCCAAGAAAAAGTAAATAAAGCAATTAGCTCTTCTTTTTCTATTCATTTTTTATCTACTCATCCAAGTTTTTACATGGACTCACCTGAAAGTGCCAATTTTATAATCACAGAATGTGGGTGCTGAGAAGGACATTAAAGAGTTCACAGGGCCTAATATCCATACTTGCCAAACAGGAAAAACTAAGGGCCAGATGATCCAATGACCCAGAAAAGCTGCTTATATCCTAACTGGGGATCCCCTGGGTCTTCCTGAGTGGTGTCCTGGAGATCCACTAAACTTTCTGAACCAATTTCCTGAACCCTTTCAAATAATAAAACACCAAATATGTGTTGAACATCTGATAACAAATCAAGGGAACTCACCTCACTTTGCATCTTTTGAGCCTCCTTTGAAGCTTGATATGATGGTGTGTCAACAAATTCAAGCATCGATTTCCCCTTATTTTTCTCATATCCTTCTTTGTACTTAACCTTCATTGAAACCAAGTATAAAAAACATATGAAGCTCACAAGCCCTTATGCAAATAGAGCAAAGTAAAATAAATGTGTCCCAAATTAATCATCCTGTTTTCTCCTATTTATTTATTTATTTTTTAGATTGTATTTACTTATTTTTAGAGAGAAAGGGAGAGAAACATCAATGTGAGAGTAAAACATCAATCAGCTGCCCCTCATACACTTCCCGTCAGGGGTGTAACCACAACCCAGGGCGTGCCCTGACCAAGAATAGAACCCATGACCTTTTGCTTTGCAGGACGAAGCCCCCAACTGAGCCACATAAGCCAGAGCATCATCCTGTTTTTTAAAAACCACATTATTCTGGCCACTGAGGTTGATCCCTGGGCCCCCTGTAGTTAATGACATACAAAGAGAGTAAAGAGGTAATACATTTAAAAAGTTTTTAAGAAATAACAGCAATTTAGAACTACTAAATAATGTAGTTCTAGCGCTTGAATAAAGTATTTAAATAGCTGGGATACACAGCTATATATTATATACATGGGGTTATAAATGTGTACACACACGGCATGCATATACAGAAGGAGAGAGGAGGGGAGGGCGAGAGAGGTCCCTGTGGTAGCCAGAATGTCTATCGGTAAATCATGAACAAGAAAGAAGACATAGTTATGATTCTCTTTCTGTCAAAGGGAGGACAGTGTTCTCTGGGATTGCTGAATTTTTCCATAGCCAGTAGGTAAAACACACACAGAGCTTTTATGTCATTTCTTTCAGTTTTGCATGCATTATTTAATAGTATCATGAATTATTTATTTCAATTACAACCAATCCTTAACTATTTCAGTTTATAAATTGATTGATATTTTCCATCTACTAATAAAAAAAACTAAAACTATATATAAACTGTCAGAGTGGTTGGCTTTTTTAGCAATATAAAAATTACAAAATTATAATCACAGAAAAGTTTTAGCATATGAGCTTCCAAAGAGAGCACAGTATAATCATAGAAAAGTTTTAATCATGATTCATTTCATTCAGAAGTGTATTTTCACTTAAATTCTTATGTTTAATAATTATTAATAAAATTATTTCTTAAGTTATATAATAATGATAATTTAATGACAATTAAATCCAAAAGAAATTTTTCAGTACTTAGGAAACAACCAATTTTAAAATTCCTATTTGTAGGCATATTTCTGTTTCAGAGAAGTATGACAGAGTGATCGATGAAAGCATTTGAATATAATAATATACTACATTAGGATAAAATTTTGTGTGTTGGGAACCGCCCTAACTGGTATCAGAAGCTGAAACCCCTGCCTAGCTAAGGCTAAGGGAACGCCTTTGGAACTGTAAGCCAGCAAGGAGACAAAAGCTTATCTCCCTGGCAGGAATGCTGCTTCTGCTGCTTTGTTCATAACTGAACCCCAAAAAGCTTGGTCGGTTAGCCAAAGACGGGTAAGATTCCCCACGGGGGAACGACCTAAGCCAGGCACGATCACTTTTGGGAGGCCCCCCCAAAAGAAGGACTTGGGGGGCTGCAGCAAAAGGGGGTGATGGACCCTCGCTCCTTGGCTCTGACATAGCCTGAGTTCTCAGCGTCTGGAAGAAAATCTCCTTATCTCTCAGTTGCCTTAGTTCCCTTGCTCCACCTAAGCCTGAAACAATGACAGGGTGGTGCAGCTCGGTACTGAGAAGTGCGGATTCCCCGGGGTGATCAGGCCTAAGAAAGAATATGTAAATTACTGTGAAACCTTCTTTGTTTAGAATGCTCTCAGTTGAATGAGAAGGGTCTTAGGAGGAAGTTAGTTTGTTCCTCAGTCTTACAGCTCTTTGACCCCCAACTCAATAGACCGGCAGAGTTCTTTGTTTTCTATAGTTCCTTACTTCCCCCTAATGAATACTGTACTTTACCTGAATTATTATGCAGAATGAGCCCAATAAAAGCAGGTATGGACTGTAAATCGGCGCACTCCCCACTAGGGGGGGTGGCCATTTCGACCCTACTTCCCCACAGAAACTAGTTTGTCTCTGTGCATGTGTGTTTTTTCTCGCGTATTGTCGAGCCATCCACAGTGTCCCGTGGTCACTGCTGGCCGGTGACCCACGCGCAACATTTGTGGGAAAAATAAAATGAAAATAAGAATGGAAAGAAAAAAATGTCTATCTCTAGACCTTAAAGGAGAGCCATTTGTGTATTTTTTTTGAAGGCGGATGTCAAATCATTATCAAATTTATGTTCCACAGGATACATTTAAAAGAATGATGCAAATTTTGATTTAATAGATGTTGGAAAGATATATTTTGAAATTATTGAAACAGAACAAAAAATATATAGATATCAAATTTAAAGTGTGCAAAGGAGGAAAACAATTTTTAAAAATTTGTTTTATGGAGTACACAGAATTTCACAGTTCACAGAAACAATGCAGAGTACACTGGCAAAATAGTTTTCCCATTTTCATAACACAATTGAACTGTGAAATTATAATAAACATGATGCCTGGAAAATTAATATTGTAGCACAAAATGACAAGTCAGTACACCACAAAAATTAAAATCATCATGAGATTTGATCATCATTTAATTGACTCATATACTGTAAGTTTTAAATTGTGTGAAGTTACTAGTATCTTATAAGATACCGTTACACTGGAACATGGTCTAAGTTTCCCCCATTCAATAAATATTAAGAGAATAGTGTTTGAGATTTTCAGAAGCAACACTGACTTTCTCAGGGTGCATGTGCTTTTCAGTAGCTTCACACTCTAGGTCAGGTGCAGGCAGTGAGAGGTTGCAGGGTACAGGCAGCGAGGGCGCGTACCTGACTCTGGAGAGTGGCATTGCCTTTGTGGTGCACGTGTTCTGCAGCATCGGCATCAAAATGGTACATTCCTTTGTTTTCCTCGAAAAGTTTTCTGTACTCTCGCTAAAACAGGGAACATGGAAATTTCAAATTCACAATCAAAGAGTCTCATTAGAGCAACTAATACTTAGGAATGCAAAGTGAACAAAAACAAGCCAACAAGAGCTGCAAAGTTCCTGTCTGCAGTCGGCTGGTATTTCTATCAGTGAGATAAACTGAGAACACAAGACAGACCAGCTCTAAGTGGCCAGTGTGAGCAGCATATGAAACATTCAAAAGAAGCAGAGGACAATTAGCTGTAAATGCAACATAAAAGACAATCGCAACACAGGGAAGTGGCGATGGAAAAGCCAGGCACAGGACAACAGCGTATGGCCAAGGTGAGCAAAATGTAGGCAATTTGTCCTTCCCTTATCCTAGAACAGGTAGGTAAGTGTGTAACAGTGTCTCCAAGAAGAGGAAAATTGGAGGCAGAAAGAAGAAAGTTGTATCCAAGGGCTCAGTCATGAGGGAGACGAATGGTCATAAGGAAACTGAGAGAGTGAGACACGACCCAACTAATTTTTCTAAAAGGAGAGGTGAGAAGTCTGGGAGAAACACTGAGAAATCTGGGTAGAGATGGTTGAAATTTTAGGTAAAGAAATTGGATTAAGGCTATTTACACATACAGACAAAAAGGTGAATATGGAAGAGACCAGAATGGTTAAGAATGCCAAATTTGGCAAGTATAATAGGTTTTTAAGTAAAATAGTCAACAGTAAAACAAAAATTACTTTATAATTTTGATAATTGGATATTGGACACTTGGTTATTCTGCCATATTTGGAAGAGACTTTTACAGGTAAACAGTAATTCTCAGAGACTCGAGACTGCAGAGAATCTGCTGCTGGTTGCTCATTAGGCAACAAGGATTTCAGTGACAATGGCCACTTTGTGCAGAGTGGAGGGAGAAGTGAGCAGCACTGGAAAGGGAGCAGGAAAGACCTGCCACAGAGAAACCGACACTGGGTCTCAGCAGACGTCCAGATGTCTGAGCGTAAAACAGGAAGAAGCCCCAGTGCTGAGGATGGACAGGATGCACAGGGGAACCGCCATTCCACGGAGACCCAGCAACGGTCCCCAGAGGCACGTTCAGGCGATTGGAGTGCTGTGTCCCCCACAACTCTAACCAGAATGGAGTGCAGACAAAGGCCCCAGAAAGTTCACGACAATGTTCACATACTACACTTTGACTGAAGAGAACAAGTTCTAAATTTTGGCTCCTCTGTTAATTTAAAAAAAAGAAAGAAAATTTCTAAGGATAAAACCATACTTAGAGACTTTATAATTTGATTAGAAGTTATTTTATAATATATGTTCATAAAATAATCATGACTTGAACATAACAAGCTAAAACATATTCCATACTGAGTTAAAATCTGGAACTAATAAAGTCTAAGATATTACATCTGAAATAATAATATCCTGAGAAAAGGTCAATAAATACTATCCCCAAAACAATAATCTATTATGGTTAGAGAATTTCTCAGAAACTCCAATGTTAAAAAAATAAAGTAAAATAAGAAAACAAAATCATTTGAATTAAGATCTGCAAAAGAACTTTTAATACTTGCTGTTCCTTATATAGTAGTCTCTGTTGCCTCCTAGTGGGAGTTATGCAGAGTAACACACAATATATATTTTTAATGTATGCAAAGTTATAAGAAAACTATAAGCTACTAAGAGCTCAATTTTCCAGGGGTAAATGTTCCCTCAAAAATTTAATTAGTATAGCTCACAAACTCACAAACAGTAATTTCACTCTACGCACTATGCATTAAAATTTTTAAAAATATGATTTACCAAAGACATTTAGAGGTCTTTAAAAACAGCCATGTATAACAAATTGACAACTAATTCTGGCAGAATATCTTTTTATTAAATATCTGTTATTCAATCTTTTAATAAAATTAAATTGTCTGTATAAATCTACAAAATTCCAATTTTCTGTACATTAATTTTTTAAAAAAAATTTAAAAGGAGGCAATTCTAAAGTACAATAAATTTGAGCCAGTATGTTATCAAACAACTTTAATAAAGAGATACCTCAGAGTAACTTATTTTGAGACTTAAACTTTCCCATGATGTGATCACTAAGTTGCAATTCTGCTATGAGGCAAAGTGTCTATAATCTAGGCAAAAGCATCACCTAACCAAAGATTTAAACTTTATAAATGGTACATAAAATAAATGTAATATATGACTTTGCTGGGTTTTCTCTGCTGAAAAGATGACAGAAACAACTTAAACTGTGATTTTTCACCATTATTACAAACTAAAGGTCAATATTCTTGAAAAGAAACACTGCCTATGAGTGGCATGCTTTCTTCCAGCTACCAAACTTTTAAATTAGCACCAAGATATTTTTATTGGCTTATTTACACACAAATCCTCATGTCCTAAGGAGATTTAACCCACGTGTGGATGAGGAACAGTCAAGGGCAAAATGCCAGTGCAAGGATCGAAACCAGACAATGGCCACAGATGAACAAAGCAGACCAGAGGATAGATACATACTGAGTGGAGAAGCCTACGTATGAGTCTTGAAGGAACACCTGAACCTGAGACAGAGGCACTCAAGGAGCAGAGGAGCATTTGCAGGGGTGCACGGGCAGGTGCTGGAGCAGCGGGACAGCAGGGTTAAGTCCTGGACGGAGCCTGATGCTGGGCCCGATGGCCCTCTCACTTTCCACTCTCTGCTCAACAGACTGTACAGAATGGTGGGCTGCTTTTCCTCCAAAGAACAGTGGGAAGAATTAATTATCTCATTTAGAACTCCTAACAGTATGAATTATTTATGTGTACAGTGTATCGCAAGAAGGACGGCAGCAGTGCCATGGAAAGGAGGGTCACAACGTAATGGACACAAGTTTCAATACATCAAAGCCAAGGGTATATATTTCAAACCGGCATCAAAGCTGAATCTCATTATTTGATAGTTTAGGAACCAGGTTTGGACTGGAGGTGTTTTACCCCACAATTATGGGCATACCTCCTAAAGACAACTCTCTTCACTTTTCCACATTACTTGCCCAACACATTTTCCATCTGATCTGTACCTGGCCCAAAGCAGGTGTTCAATAAATTTGGATAATTTTGAATGAATAGTTATTAAAATGGGCATAGAAATAACCTGAGGTCAAATTAGAGTTCATTACCACCATAGGGCATTCTGAAATGCAGGAAATGGAGGGACAGGTGAGCCAGAACATCAGTTATGAGCATCAACGACATCACTAAGTGTTTGAAACAGTGTCCAGAAGGTGAGTTCTAATGGAATGACCCACTCAGCAGTGTATTCGAACATTTTCAGCAGGACATAAAGAAATCACCCTCCCCACCTAGTAGCATTGAAGAAAACAGGAGAATCTTGCAAGACTAAAAGGATAGTGTTGATATAAACATTTTTAGCACTTATTTTAAGAGAAAATACAAATTAGACTAAGACAATTTTTTATATTACAGAGGCCTATCAAATACCAGACACTCTGCTCTGGCCTGCATAAAATAAAAGATCTCTGACTTAAGAGCCTGAACTTAGTTCTAAAGCCTTGAACCGGATACAGAAGAAGAAACTGAACCGGATACAGAAGAAGAAATGGAAAGAAGAAAGGCAGAATGGACATTCACCCAAACACTTTGAAGTGTAGTTGTTCAACAAGAAAGTTTGCATTTGAAAAATATTAAAAAGTTAGCAAAAAAAAAAAATCTTTTGTAAAGCAGCAGCTTTGGTGGGACGTAAGTGAGCAGTCTACTACTTTTCAACAAGTTAGTTATTCAGGGAGGATTGATGCCCAGGCACACCTACAGAAGCAGATGCGCCCAACAGCACTGCAGGCATAGTGGCTGGAGGGAGATGCACGGCAGCTACAGCCGCCAGAAGACAACCCACTTACTCCACTGAGCATTTTGCTGACTTTCAAAGCATGGTCTAAAAACAAGTTTGGGAGATCTGAAACTGGATCATGCATATTTTGGATGTCTTTCTTGTACTTCACCTAAGAAAATAATACGGAACAAAATGCTATCTAGGAGGAGGAAATATGCTTTGACATTATTGCCAATTATCAAGTTGAACACATCATGAAATACCAGTTAGTGGTAAATTGAAAGATGAATTTGCACATAACCACTAGATGGTGCTCATTCACTATTGAATGCATTTTAAAAAGTTATTTCTAGGAACTTGAAAATATTTTGATAATTACCTTTACTGTTTACATATCCAAAAAGGGTGATGTTAGCAGAATTGAGTAATTTAACAGGAATTCTGCTTTCAAAACAAAGGGAAATTACCAATGTATTTTGATTTCCTTTGTGGCAATCTGGGAACTTGTGGTATTTTTCATGCTATTGCCATATAGACTTTTTTTACCAACTGGTTTGGAAATATAATAATATCAGTAATTGTAATTATAAAACATTAATAACAGAAAGGACACTGAGCACTTAATATGTGCCAAACACTTTTCTAAACACTTCGTTATCTTTAGAAAAGTGTCAAATGCTTTTCTAAATGCTCCCTAACATCCCCTAGCAGGTAGGTACAATACTTTAAGTATCTCCCATTTTACAGATGAGGAAACTGAGACACAGAAAGATGAAGATATAATATTAAGAGAGAGAACAGGGTTCAAATCCAAGCAATCTGATTCTAAACCTTGTGTTTTTAGCACTGTGCTTTAGGTTCCTTCATGCATACTCCAACTGTTTGCTTTACATTTTTATCCACGCACCAAAAAAAAAAAGAGAGAGAGAGAGAGAAAGAAAGAAAAGAAGAGAAGAGAAAGAAACAGAAATCATTCTGATACTCCTAGTGATCCTAAACATTAGAAACACTCATTCCAATTTCTGGTGACAAACAAAAATTGGCTAATGAATACAAATATCAATACCTTCTAAAAAATAATAAAAGTAAGGTGTAAGTCCCAGGATGTGAGAGAAGTTGCAATCTTTAAATGACCTAACAAAGCGATAGTTCAACAATAATTCATCTTAGTACTTGAAAAGGTACTCTATACATCCTGCAACAACAGCAAAATGATCCATTTTTTCCATGTTTGTTTTTATGCTCTAATAATTCTAATAAAAATTTAAGGCATCTTTTCTTGTAAATTGAAACTTGGTTAGTTTTAAACACCTCAAATAAAAACAAATCTTGTGAAGAAGTATCACATCATTTAATAATGGGTAAGAAAGAAATTTTAAGTCATCATGGGTATGATACCTGAACATTTCTGTATGATGAACTACCATGTACCAGGCAGCATTGTACAATAAGCCTCATTTTGTGGGTATTGTTGTATAGTTCACTGTTGTCATAATCATTATATATGATATTATACAGTACATTTCTGCAAAACCATAACCTACTTGTACTCATGACCAGATATAATAGTTTTATTAGCAATATTACTCTTATTTATTAGCTAATTAGTAACCATTAATAGTAAATTACAATAATACATTTCTCTCAAAAAAAAAGCTTCTGGAAAATATACTTCAGTGTTTTCAACTAAAACTGCTGGAAAATTACATGATTTTGCTTAATTGCAATGTAGCCAATTCTGAGGAACCAAGAATCAAAAGATACTGAAAATTATTTTCTATGAATTACAAGTTATGAGACACAAAATAACTTACATTACTTGCCAGTTCAGTGGCAAGCTGACTTTGCTTAAAAGAAACACTTTCAAGGGGATTGTAGTGATGTTTCTTATCCTTCATTTCATTATCAAATTTTTCTTTGTATTTAATCTGTCATAAAAGAAGAAAACAGGATAAATTTAGTACCACATTAATTTTTAAGCTTTTGAAATAACACATTTGATTTGTAATTAGATAGATAAAAGCTACCCTAAAAACAAATGATAGCGAAGTTTAAAGTTCCTGATATTTTTTACCCATATAAAATTTAATTAGGCATAATTTTCTTTATTAAAAAAACAACCTCTACTTGAACATTGATCATAAATGCAATTAAGCATGAACTCAAATCCTATTAACAAGAATTATGCACTAAAATCTCAGGATTTTTAAATGTGACTTTTCTTTTCTGCATTCCTATAATCTATGATTAATTAGAAATTTAGACCATAAATGAATTAGTTTTCCACATTTAGAAAAGAGATCCTAAGCCCCAGAATTTGAATATTAATTTTCCTGAGGGAATTATTCCAAATACAGGACATGCTTTGTACCATGGTTTTTCTCATCATTTCCCATTTGTTCAAAAATTCATATTTAGGGACTACATTTTCTGAAGTGTACTAGGTCTAATTAATGTCATTTTTTGTTCCTCTGCTTTAATTCCACAGTTGTATTCAGCAGAAAAACTATTTCTAATGTTGATTCTAAATTATTTTTCTCCTTTTTTAAAAAGTAATCTTAAGGTAACCAAATAAAGGATTATCAAGTTATTCTATAAAACTGTATTTTTCTCCATAGATAGAGAAATATGTGAATATACCCTCTGATAACTAACTAGAATACAAAGTTCTTTACCAAAAACAAACAAATAAACAAAAAAACAAAAAACTAACCTCTCGAACCTCACACCCCCTTTGAGACCTGTAGCCAGGAAAAGATACACAGACTTCAAAAGCAAAAGTAGGCTGCTTTGCTCTCTTATATTTTTTTACAATATTATAATTTTTATATTTTGTTTTCTTGCATTCTCATAATGTACCTTTATTTATAAATATTAAGATTGTGCTTAAAGAAGTTTTTATTAAAAAGCAATTTGTGGGTGGCTATTTATTTATTTTCCCTATCTCTTTTTTTGGGGGGGGGTGGGGGTGAGGGGAGAATGGCTATTTAATTGAGTGTGTATTGGGTGATGGTCTCCCTCAGGAACATGTGTGTGGAAACTATGGGAGAGAGCTAGTGAAATTTTTGGTGGGAATACATTTGGAAAATATTTCAAGATGGTTTACAGGAGATATTTTCTCTCATGATTCCATCTGCTAATAATAACTTTCTGATATTCACATTACCTTATAAATTCATGCATAACCTCATTTATTCTAATTATTTGATGAGGTCTCTCAAACACAAGAAAAATTCTGATTTAAAAAAATTATTTTATGTCTGGAAATCAGAGATAGTATCACCAATGGAATAAATTTAGAGCTTGTTCACTATTTTCCACAGTAGCTGGCACCAAAGCAAAGGTTTTCCCTATCTGGTCCTTCCTTAAACACACAATTCCACTGCCTTTGCACACTCTACGCCCCTGTGCTAGGGAACTTTACAAGATATTTTAATTGGTGGTTTTGTCTCTCTCTAGCTTTTTAGTGCTGAAAGGCTGTTCACTGGACAATGATGGTGGGCTGTCTTAACTGACTTCTGTTTGAATGGAACTCCTGACTCAGCCAAACTCACCAACACACTCCACTTACTGAGTAGAACAGGCTGACTGCTGGCTATGGTGCCTTGAACTCTCTCTGCTGACAGCTATTGAACTAAACAACTGACCCTGCTGCGTACTATGGGTTTGCATCAGGCTTTCTTTCAGTTATTCGTATTCTCCACCCCAGGTACCATGAGTGTCTTGGTCATGTATTAGCTAAATGGCAAATATAGGTTTGTATAACCTTCGTGCTCACAGAGCCCAGTGTTCTGTCTTTGTGTGCCCTACCGTCCCAGCACGATTACCATAGGAGCAGAGGCAGCACTGAAGGGGGGTGTTACTTGGAAATAAACCTGACAAATTCTCATCTGTCATCAAACCTGGCACTCACTCTTCCCAAGTAAAGGTATATTTCTGAAAAGCAATAGTCAATCTAAGTTGTAATGATTCTTTCCTTCCTCTACTCATTAAACATTAAGCCTATGTTGAGTTCCTACTATGAGGCTGGGAACAGTGATGTGACCCAGACACACTCTGTGGAGACTGGAGTCAGTAATCTCTTTCAAAAGCAAATCTGATCGAATCACACACTTAAAAATGGCTTAGAAGTGAGCGCCAGCATTTCTGCCTCCTTTGGGTGTATTGTAATCTGGCTAAGAGTCAACTGAGTCTGTCCCTTATCCTGTTTATGCTAGTTGTACTTAATTCAATTTAATATTATGAACACTGGCAAATTTACTGTAAAAAGAGTATTTTTATTTCTATGAACACAGTTATTTCTCTGAAAGACTTCATGAAGGCAATTCCCTACAAAGAAACTGTTGTCAAATTATGAGTAATCAAGACAACCAGAAAAGTTGGCAGGGGGATATAAATAATCTAGAAGGTTCTAGAACTCAAATTAGCAATATATCTTTAACAAAATGTCTTTCAAAATGTAAATCATAGACAATGCAATGGGAGTATGATGTACAAGAAAAACAACACAAAACACCAAACAGAAGATTCATTTGCCAGGAAAAACACTTGTCACTACATCAAAAAGTTGGTGAATAAATGGACACACATGGCTTCTGTGTTAAAATAAAATGTTAAAATAGCTTTGTGATAGATTTTAATGAGAACTTTACATTTGAAGATTTCTACCATTGTTATGGATTAGGCTATACACCTTAAAATCTGAGTTTTAAAATGCTGTCTAACCTTCCCAGGTTATTTCTGTAGCGTGAGGTTAATTACTTAAAGAATATCTGTCATTTACGTCCTTATAATGAATGTAATAATGAGCAAAGTATTGTGAAATTTATCTTACTCTAACCTTCAGCACTCTGTGTGATTGATTCAAAGGTGCCTGAGAAAGAAAAATGCAAGAATATCCCTCATTAATTAACCACAAAGTAAAATTACTGCATTACATTCAAAAATGCCTTTGCCAGACACTGACACCCAACTATTTCTTTCATCTTTCTGTAAGGTTTGCACATAAGTAAACTAAGAAAATAGCCAAATGATTAAATGGCTTCTATCACCCACCTTCTGACTGGTTCACTCACAAATGATATATGGGCACCCAACATTCTCTCCTATTTTCAACCCACAATTCACACATCTGAGTGTCTACCTCTCTGTGCACTCTCGAATCTCCCAAGGGACCAAGGTAACACTTTCCTTTGATTATAACTGGTGACTCATATGTGGAACCAAGAATGTCCAGTTTCAAGACCACTTGAGACAGAAAAAGGTGTTCGGTGACTTTGCTATGGTTTTAAGACACAATGTCACCTCTTGCACCCAAAGCGGTTATTTCAGAAACAAATAAAAGTTATACCTACGACTGATTTTATTTAATTGATGAATACCATACCTAATCATCCTGATGTCTACCAAACTTTTTTCAAATAGAAGAGTTTAATTTAATATTTAACTCCTAGGTTTTATTTAAAAATTTTAACAGACTTAGCAGGGTGTTCAGAGGCCCACACTTGGAGAAACACCGGAACCATTAAACTACAAGGACATAAGTTAAACTAGTTCCTCGGTGCTGCGTCCAGACAGGGCAATGTTTCAACACACCCAAGACTGACGGACTCCTGCTCCCAGGAGTTCAATGCTTTCACCACAAGGGGAGCCAGGCTGCATGGCAACACCTACAGCTCAGATTCACAAGGAGTCAGAAAAGACAGAAATAAAGCAGATGCTGAACAAAAGCTTTTCATCATGGCTGTAGAAAAAGATGTTTGAAAAGAAATGGAGAATTTTATAACTATACCTTAATTACCAGTGGAAACAAAAAGGAAACAAACAGCACAGTGCCACATATCCATAGGCATCAGTTCCTTCTAATTCTGGATAAAACTGAACTAAATTTTGTCAAGCAAGAGAGTAAAATTTTTATGTAAAACTAACTATAATCAGTAACATTTTTAAGTCTGAATTTTAGACAAAATGTTATCTCTATTCTCATTTTCATAACAAACTAATATCTTACTGACTATACCAAATGTGGATGACCTAGCAAATCTGTTCAACTGGTCTTACATACTTATTGAACTCCTAATCTGTGCCATTTTATAATGGTGGATTAAGTGCATATAAACTGTCCTCATGGAGCCCACTGTGTGGTAAATGAAGTAGATACTTATAACACACATATATGTATGCATGAATACTACACTGTGTTAAGAACTATAAAGAAAAACAAATGAGAAAGTTATGGAGCTTAAATTGGCAAATCAAGGATGTGACATTTAAGCTAATACCTGGTTGTAAAGTTGGTGGACAGAGTACTTGCCAAGAAGGGAAAGTGACACATTCTCTGAATGAATGAATACCCCTTACAATTTAAAAACAGTGCTTATTTTTAAATTTTAACAGCAATCTAAAATGTAATTTTTCAGTTTAAAACACCTTATTGATAAATCAAATGAAATTTCAGAACAAATACTATTACAAATACAAAAGTGTTTCTTGATATTATAAAACTAAGAATCCTATTCATTATATAGGCAAATTTCAAGAAATAAATTAAGATAATATATGAATATATTAACAAATTAACCACTCTTACGAGAATTTTTTTAAGATGATGACTTCAACAGTTAATACACTTACGTTTGAGATACTTGTAAATACACCAATCTCTTTATCTTGGCACATAAAATTTACTTTGTTTTTTTACTGATTTTCTTTTAGTTACTTGACCATAATTTTATGTCCCTCCTAAATTTAAAAAAGGCCACATTACCACTACTGTACAAGTTAACATGGGAAGGATTTTGTACATATTTCCATTGTATTTTCTGGGTCCAATCCCACAGAGTTCAATTTTCAGGTAAAATGGGAAAATTCTGCCCCCTAGCTTTCTCCTCTTCTCATCAGACACGTGTCATTATTCCATGCCTGAGCACTGCCTCATCATCACCTTCTCTCTCTCAGGCCTTCGAGTGCTGTTTCGGTCTTTTATTCCTGCATCCTGCTCCTACTCTTCCTGCTTTCCTAAATCATTTCCTTCCTGTGTATGTATTTGCCTATGAGTGCTCCTGTATTCGTAATCTGTGAAAACGCATTTCTTACCTGAAAGTAGAGGCTACTTGAGAGACGACAGTTAAAATGGTGAGAAGTGGTACTGGGGACACCTTTTCTGAATTCATTTCTAAAAAGCTTCCCATGATTACATTCCAGAATCACTTTCTTTTTTAGAGCATATTGTTCTTACTCCAACCTGTAAGTGTGGCCTGTAGTCCAAATGAATAAAACACTGCCCACACAGCATTTGCAACTCTCTCCAAATGTATTTAGGACCTGCATCTCTTTGCTCCATCATCTTCCTCAAGTGTCAGACAGCTCACCTCTGTCATTCATGTTCCCAAACTTTATTTGGGGTCCTCCTGTGAGCACAGCTTTCTAAGTGCAGCTGAGCTCAAGTCCGCCTCCCACACAAACCTCTCTATGAACATGGCCCTCACAGATGTCCGGTCCACGCTCACAGAACAAGATGGGTGTAAACAACGTTCTGTTTTTACTTTGCTTCATTTCCATTTCTACAAATAAACATTCCACTCCAATATTTACTCTCCTCTTATATTTGCTCTTTTGTGAAGTGCCTATTCATCTCCTTTGCTCATTTTTCTACCAGGCTGTTGAGTCCAGTCCTTTTCTTTTTAATATGAAAGAACTTTTGTATACTCTAGGTATTAAAATGTTGTCACCATATGCATTACATATATTTTTCCAAATATTTGAAGACCACTGCTCTTCTTTTTATATTTAAAAAGCTATCCTCAGACACTTTCTTCTCAATATAAATTCTATCATGTTATGCTCTTCAGTTATATTTTACAGTTTTACTCATTTACATCTCTTCATTGGGAAGTATAATCAGGACATGTACAACTTGAGAAATGGATATTTTTGAATTTGAAAACACGTTAAAAAGAATGACTGTTTGGTACCATTACTGTTGACTTTGCAAATGTTATCCTTTTGCATCAAAAAAGTTTTAAACTTTTACATAGTCAAGTACATCTAACTATTCTTTTATAGCTTCTGCATCTCTGGTCTTATTTAAAAACAACTCTGTTATCCCTATTTGATATATATAGTCTCTGGGATTTTCTTTTTTAAGATGTTAAAGTTATTTTATTGTTTACATTCACATAGCTAATCCATCTGGAATTCATTTTTTATATGGCTTACGATTCAGCTCCAATTTTATTTCGACCCTGATGGATGGCCAGTTATGTCAGCACCATTTATTAACTAATCCAACTTTTTCCCACTGACTCGAACCAACCTTTTATCATATACTAAGTTTTTATACATATTGGAATTTATTTCAGGATTCCCTTTTCATCCTACTAATTATTTTATCTCTTACTATACCAATTCCATACTGATTTAATTTCAGAGGCTTTATATTATGGTATGGTAACTCATAAATTAAGTTCTCCTTCACTGGTCTTCATTTTCATACTCTGCAAGGCTATTCTTAGGCATTTCCTTTCCCTTCAAACTCTAAGATCATTTTATCCACATTAAAAAAAAACTTTGTTGGAATCTATTCAAAATTACATGACATTTATATATTAATTTGGGGGCAATTAAAATTTTTATCTATTGAGACTTTCAACCAAAAACATGCCATGTCTTTACACTTTTTCAGATCTTGTTTTATGCTCCTCAATATGACTTCAAAGTTTTCATTTTCATCACTCTTCTTTAGTTAATGATTAAAGCATTTAAAAATTACAACATTAATAACTTATTACTAGTTAATATGTGCATGTTTAATCTAGACAGATTAAAATCTAATTATTTGGTATAACTGCTGCTAAATTCTAGAAATCCTGAGAAATGTGACAATATGGCTAAACTCATCAAAAAAGGTTAGGATTTGAGCTGAGAGGAAACTTTGTTTTATGCTTAAATCGGACTGATTTTTTTCTTACTGGAATTTATAATTATTGCAATCCTATCTAAAATGGTTTCAGAAACATTATCTTTGCATATTCTTGCAATTCAAGATATTATCTAAAATGAAATATTTTCCTGTGCTGCTAGAAACAAAATCTCTGAATAAAATCATTGTGGAATCATCACAAGAGTCTTACTTGACTAGAAAGTTTAGAAGCTTCAACAGCATGTTCAAAATCTGGTCTTCCAATTACAGCCGGCTCTTTATTCATCGCTCCTTGCCCTTTCTTGTATTCTGCCTATAATGAATAAATGAGAGAATGTTAAATATTTCTACTTCCTAGCGAATAATCGTATTGACATTAGCCAAAATAAAATATAAAAGGCCCTCAGCCCATAAAACATATTCCCTTCGACTCACCAAATACTAAAATGCTGACCACTAAAGCAGGAATCAATTTTTATAATATGGCTATTTAAATAAACTCAACATTTTTGCAGTAAAATAATCACTAATTTTGAGTTGTGAATCCAATCATCATCATCATCACTGTGTTTATGTGTAAACACTAAAAAAATTCAGAAATGTACGGATAATTGAGACTCTGTCTTCTGCATAAAGATAGCTTTCAGGGCTTTGTTTAATCTTAGGAATTGATGTAGCCCTATTTGATTAACATGTAGTCGAAGTTAGAAAATAATTACTGATTATTAATTTTTCAGGTATGAATATCCTATGTTACTTAAACATTTGGTCCAGGTTGAGACATCATTTTAAACAAGGTATTAGGTATGTTAAAAAAATGATATTAATCAAGGAGGATGTCTTAGAGAAGGTAAGAAACAGCTATGATGTATAGGAAACCTACAAGAGTAAAAGTTGGCAGAGCAGAATCTGCAGAATTAACAGCAATGAGATAAGGACCAAACAACGTGAAGTTCCTTTGGACAGGGTGAGAGGTAAGAGATAAGTAATATGGGGTCAGATGACTGACAATCTCGGCTTTCAAGCTGGACATCTGAATGTTATCTTACACTCAAATAGTATTTACTGAACTAAAAGTCTGATAACACCAGCCATAGTCAGGTTGAGTCTGGGCAGCTTCTGTGTATACCCAAATAATTTACAGAGTCAAATGGATATGTCTGATATTAAAAAATTAATGTAATTCAGATCTAAAAATTGAGATGACTGACTTCACTCATTAAATTAACCACCCAACTACCAAAGCCATGCTTTGTTCCTGCAAAAATAAGGAGTCATTTCTGCTCAAGATAAGAAAGAGCAATTATTACATTGCTTATGATCTTGGAGAGTTGCGTAGCCATCTTGATGTCTGGTCTGTTGAGCTCTGCATTATACACGTGGGTGTCCTGCATATCTTTTCTATAAGAAATCTGATCAAAGAAATAGTTTTGATTAAAAAAATTAGTAATTTCATACAGTCACTAGCTTTAATGTCCATAACATTATTTATCCTTGTTGCAGTCACCTTAGAGAGCCAACTGACCACAAGTTGTTACATAATACAACATTTATTTGCAACATTTATTTTTTTTTTACTGTACCTATGCCTCACTAACATTATTACATATGAACTGAATTTATACAACATAAGAAATACAAGCCCAAGCCCTCGACACAAAACCAATCTTACATAATTTTATGTACACCACCCTAGTAAGCATGTCATTGTGTGGAAGTGTGTATGCGCATATTCACATAAATAATAACCTCATCAAGGGCTTTCACTTGCTCCTCATACGCTCTCTCCCCCAGTGGATACAGGATCAGCCCCAGCACATAAATACAGAAAACCCCTTCCAAGGGTGAGGGTGTGTGAGGAGGCTCTGTGACCCGCCAGCTCTCACCCTCCCAACCATGCCCTTCTCTCCCTTTTCTGACTGGACACTCCAAATGCCCCCATCTGGAAATCCTCATCATGAGTACTGATAGTTTTATAATCTAGCAAATATCATTGCAATGACTTGATTCTCCCAAAATAAAAGCGACTGTATTAAGGAATAATCATCTTCCAAATGCACATTTGACACTATTAAACCAAAGTGGAAAACAGAGATTATCAAAGAAAAATATGTATAAATTTTGCCAAATGTACTTCAGATGATAGCAGTCATTTAGTTTAATTCAACTGACGAACAGGAACAGACCAGAAGCAAACTACCGTCATGTCCAATGGTCAACATCTCACCATCAAGATAAGTCATGCGCTGAAAGAACATTCAGCTACACTCCAGATGCTGTCCTATTTGGCAATGTCCCCAAGTGCTGGTCAACTTGTCTATTCTAGTCTAGTCCACTGAAGTTATAATGCAAAGGGTATGGTAACAGCTTCAAATTGAAATTCATCTTGATTTTCTGAGGCACAGAAAGGTGGAACACAGAAACATACAACTAAACATCTGTACCAATGCACAATTAACAAATTTTGTACAAAACAAATATTTCTAATAATGCCTCCATAGTTCCTGCAACAACATCATCGTAGGTGCTTTTTAAAATTTAAATTTCTGAGGTCCATCCCCTTGGTAATGGGATCCAGCAATCTGCATTTTAATAGATTCCCCAGTGGACCACCAAGAATGACTATTCCAGACCATTCAGTGTATCTTATTTTCTTTTCAACCTTGCAGAGTGAAAAAAAATTGGTATATTCTTACTTCTTTCAAAAATAATATCAAGTGTAAGAAATGATAATGTATTAAGACTTTAATAGGCTCCCTATATATTACATTATTTTATTTCAGTGAAATATTTATACACATTTCTATTTAGTTTTTTAAGAGATTGTGTGTATCTCACCATCAAGGCTATTTTTCAACTGAGCTTAAAATCATGAACTTATCTGACAAGTGAACAACTACATACAATTAGCATAATTTCAGCAAGAATCTTTCTTTGGTTTCCTGTTTTGGTTTTCCTATCACAAGCTTTCCCTTGCCAAGTAATTTCAGGTAGGTTTTCTGAATACAGGTACCAAAAGAAACATAAAAAATAAGCTGAAAACTGAGTTATTTTGTTGGATAGATTTTAAATCTTTGGGGATATAAAATAATCCAGTTTTATTGCTTTCAAAAAGCAACATGCTCACCCACAAAATATGGCCCATCAGCCTCAGCCTGCATTGAGTTAAACACAAGCTGTGTAAACAAAAACCGACTCTCAGGTGAAAACAAACCAAAATTATTACCCACCTACAAGAATAGCTGTTTCTATGTTACTACATTCATATGAAATCCATGGGGGGGGGGAGTTGTCTTGTTTAGAATAGAATGAAGGTAAAATGGAAACCCTTATTTTCTGAAAAGAGCTGCAACCTTTCAGAAATTAAGCTGTACGTGGGCCACCTAATTATATGCTGTTCAGCCTAATGACGGAGTGGAGAGCAGTGAACAGCACAAAAGCGGCAGAAGCAGGACTCTGAATAGGGACCCATCATCCATGTAAATTGCAAATTAGAGGCCAGCACAGGTGACTCAAAACAAATATTAAGATTGACATGAGCTACAAATTCAAACAGACACCACAGAGCCACTCCTTAGGAGATACACACAGGAGCCCTGGTCACTGGTCAGCTCTTCCAGAATATGGCTGCTTGGGGACAGTCCCCAAGAACAGGGTTTATGCTGAGGAACACTCAAGAGCAGCAAGCTCCTGGTTTTCACTCCTTGCAAGAATATCTAAACATAGGAGGATGACAACATGGGTCATTTTCCTAAGCTATTCCTTTGTAGTGGACATGTATTCATTTTTTTAATCATTTGGAAACTGCCCCCCACCCCCAACCCACTCCATATGATTTGGTGGGGCTATCAATTGCAGTCTACTTTTCTGGTCACAGGAGTGACTGGCTATCCAGAGATTAATAGGATACCCCATCCCTTTGGAAACCAAGGTTAATAAGAGAGCAGACAAAACCTGAGCTGAGCCAGAGACATTTGAAGGATCAGACGCCGGGAGAGAAAGAGCTGCTGTCCTTTCCTCTTGGATCAGCTGCTATAAAGATGACTTAATTTTGAAAACACCAGCTGTCATCTTGAGAGCACCTAAACAGTGTCTGGAAATGAAGTCAGAATAGCTAGCAGAGCCAAGAGATGGGGAGAGAGGGAGAGTCCTGGTGACACTATGGAGCCACTGGATCCAGCTATGCCTGAAGGTAGCATGAATTTTCCAATTAGGCAAACTAATAAACTCTCATTTTTATATGAGCTCACGTGAAATGGATTTCTCTCACTAAATCTAGGAACTGCTGACTAACACAGCCTCTACTTCATCTGTTTTTCTTCAGTGTCAAATCTGCTCTTTATTGCCTCCAATTAAGATTTTAATTCTATCAAAATCTGTCATGGAATATCTTCCTTATCTCACCATGTTCACTTCCCTCTTAGCTTCCTCTTTCATCTCATTTTGTCTTTGAAGCTCAGTTTGTTCTCCCCTTATAAGCCTTCTACTTCTGTTTCATAAGGCCACAGCTTTTACATGTTTCCTATGTTCATACAGAGTGTCCAATGTGTCAGGCATGTTCTAAATCTTTCACTCACATTGATTCATTAAATTCTCATGCCAGCCCTGTTGTGCTGAATTTTCTGCACTCAACTGGGCTCTAACCACACACCCTCCCAATAGAACTAGTTATCCAGAATCTTCTTCATTGTATCGTTCTGGGTTAGACTGGCCAACAAGAGACTCATTAGATTTTGAAAACAGAAGTGAAATTGATGCCATTATTCACCATATCAAGCCAGACACATGGGCAGACAGAATTCCCAGCGACTTTGCAGAAAGCTTTTCTTGTTTAGACAACAGTGACTTGAGATTTCTCAAAAGGTGGGTTAATAAACTAGAGGAAAGCGAAGCCTCCACCAAGACGGTCCTTATAGTGAAGGTCAAGCACTTGGAGATGTGAAGATTGTGAGCTAAGGGATGACAGTCAGGATGGAAGCCGCAGACAGACGCCTACTGGGGCTGAGGGCAGTGTGAACAGACGGGCTTACAGAAACCAAATCCAATCAGCCCAGAACATTCATTCCCTTTGCTGCTCTGGGGGAGCCTAACATGATTCTTAGTGAGAAGAAACTAGAAAGGATATGAATCTTTGTGGAACAGAAGTGAGTAGTATAACCTATACATAATTACAAACTTACACCACCAGTTGTGATTCTCAAGAAATACTTTTATCATCATAAACTCTCATGTTAGCAAAGCTCTCCAGGTACCATCAAAGGGGCACATGCACTGGAAGTTCTACCTTAGGCTTATTTCTGTCTGGGGATACTGTATTTAAAGAAACACCAAATTGTTAAATTGTAAATATTATTTTATAAAGAAATGGAAACATTTTAAGTATAAGTAAATGGAGGGTCTTATATTCACCAGAAAAAAAGTTTTCAATCTTCTAAAAGATGAGGTAAAATATGGAGCTGTATCTAGAAGTTTATTGTTATTACTATCATTGTCGGAGTTTATGAGAGCATTTTAGAGTTGATCAAAGTTTTCTTATACATGGTTTAATTCTATCATCACAGTCTTGTGAAGAAGGCAGAGGAGGTATTACTAACTACTCTGCCTTAAAGATGAACAAAATACTAATATATCTATTTTAATACTAAATCCTACAGCACTATTATTGTAAGTCACATCAAGGGACCACATAAATGTTTTTCCAATATCATTTTACTGATTTATCTTTAAGCCTTTTCGCTTTGTGATGAAATAGAAATTTTGTCTACTGATAAGTTTTTATTAACATTAAGAAAGTACATCTATCATTTGTGAAAAGAACATTAAGTTTCTTGTTTCCCCTGATGAATACTTCTTTCTAATGCACATTGAATTGATTATCAATATGGTGTTTTGGAAAAGTTTACCACTCCAGTTTCATGATAAGTCTATACAGACCACATTACTTATAAAACTTAAAATGGCAGCTTAAAATTTCTTTGACTTGCTTTAGAACCATTGGAGTTCATGCTCTGGTAAGATTGATGAGAACTAATAATGTTACTGGGGTTTTCATTACAAGCCCATCTTTAGGGAAAAGCAGCAGGACAGAAACCTCCAGTTTCTCTAATTACATTAAAAAAATCTGGCAGGGGTACATCCCTTAAGATACAAAAGGATTTAGATTGGCTCTTTTTAATCATGTTTTGAATATAGTATCAGCAAAATAGGTAAGTTATATGGGTTCAGGAACCTTTTGAATGTGCCCTTCTGACCTAAATGCTTAATATAAATTTCCTTTTAATTTGGACTTTTAATGAAATTTTGCCTCTTTAGATTGTTTTGAGTTAACTATGATATCACTATAAATTCTTAAATCACCCTTTAAAACTGGAAGGGGACCAAACAGGACTAATATTTTATGGAGTGGCTCTGCAGAAGAGCCCTTTACATATTTCATCTCATTTAACACTTGCTGCCCTAATGAGATAGAAATCATTGTCCCAATTTTAAGATAAGAAAATCGAGGTTTGGAGATATTAGTAACTTGTCCAAGTTCACACAGGCAACTGGCAGAGCAAGCATTTTAACCCTGGCCTGATTCCAAATTCTTTTTCTGTTTTATGCTACAGTGGAAGACAGTCTGAAAAATATTTTTCCCTCTTTCATGGTCATTGAATTTGGGGGTAATGAAAGAGACTAACAGCCCCCCAAATACTCTCCCCACAGGACTGCTCAGTTATTCAGAGGTGAAAATTCAGTCACCAAGAATCCTCTGCTCCTCCGCTTCTGCTTACTCACATCTCTAAAGGTAGATGGGAAAGAAAGGTTCTAAAACAAAAAAGTATCCCCTTTGGCTAACTGATGAATGTTTTAGTAAAAGGTTTAAGGGGGAAAAAGGCAGAAATTAAAAGCTTTGAACTCTCATTGTCCCCATTTCTTGGGTCTCTGACAGATGTTCAAAAGCTGGCTTGATTTTCGTGGAAACATAAGAAAGATAAGCAAAGATGTGGACTTGCATTGTTTCTAGGTAAATCAGATGCACATGTGACAACACCTTTGATTTTAAATTAAATCAAATCATTTATAGGCTTAGGGCAAAGTGACATTCCACGTTATGAAAGGGTAATTCTATTAGAAATTCTCTGCAAATGAGTTTCATTGGACTGAAGGAGGCAGGGTTTTGCCTCTCAGAGAGACGCTGTAGCTTCACCAACCAAACCTTGAGAGAGAGATACTCTCCTTGTGGCTGTCAAAACTAACATTTAAATTTCATATTGTAGGGACAACAAATGTATTATTCTAAGTGCCTTGATACTAGAGGAATATCAACTACTTCACAGATAGAATACAAATATCCTCCTCACTTTAAATCTGAGTAAATAATCTTAAACACTTTCTAAATCCTATTATATGTACAAACTTTGCATGTAAAGGTTGAGCTGGTTAGGCAGAGGAGTGTAAGTAAATATACCCTTCTCCCATAAGTACACAGTACTGAATGGAGAAAAGGGCTTTCTACTCTATTCCCTCAATCCCTCAATCAAAGACCTTTCAAAAGAAAAGGCAGACTTAAAATAATAACCCCAGTTCTATGATAAGGGACTTCCGTATTTGAATTTCATTGAATTATAGAGTTAGAAAGCCTCCTGAGGATCCGTGTCATGCCAGCCCCCTCCCTAACCCACCACCACCTTCTTTCCTGCAGTGCACGGGAGCTGCTGATCTGAATTCTGATGATAACCTATTTTGCACCCACTTTAAAAGTCTCATTTAAAATCTTGACCAATAACCAGTGACCTTTACGAGGGAGGCAGTGGGGCCTAACAGAAAGAGCAAACTCAGGGCTTTGATTCTTTAGACTCCTTTTCCTCGTCTACAAAAGGGGAATCGGTGCAGGGGTTTTGTGAGAATTGGAAATGATCAAAGTTTTGGTACAGTTGTGATGCACGGCAGTGCTGAGAGGTAGTTATTATGATTATCATGGTCATTCTATAAGCAAACGGTTCTTGTAAAGCATCCCCTTACAATGACCTTGCTGGTAATAACAGACATGCAGTTTCTTCATCTCTTATCAATCTCAAGCCATTTTAGAAAAGTGCTTTGGTATTGGCATATGTTTATATATTTGGATTAAAATGTTAAACCTCACTCAGTTTTCATTTAAGGATTGACCTACTACAATTTAATATCAGATAACTGTTGCCATCCTGCAAAGAGATACCGCACAGCTGGGGCTCTGGGGGCATGGAGTCCACAGAGCACCATTAGTTAGAGAACTCAGTGGTGGGATGGACCCTGTGTGAGGTGACAAAGATGGTTCAGATACTCTTCAAAGAAAAGGAGTTTCCTGACCCAACTGGGACAGACACTTTACCCTAACTGATTCCAATCCATAAAGAACCTGGTAAACAGCTCCTATATTGCTTCCAGAGAACAGAGAATTCATGGTGGAAAGATGAACAAGCTTTCCCTGAGATCTCAGGAAGAAATATTTCTTATAGCCCACCAAAGAGGAAATTCATTTTCTATAGGCTGACGTCCTCTCACTTGGACTCTGCTTCTAAGGCATCTATTGCTTTCCCACTTGCCATGGGTCTTAAGTTTGATACTCTGTTCCCCATAAGCATGCCAGAAGAAACAGTAGTGGGGTACAATCTCACTAGCATCTGTGAATGATTCTTCCCTGGGCCACTGATTTGCAACACTCTTTCTCCCTGCTCTTCTGCAATCCCAGACTGGAAACCATGGGAGCTTCACCATCAAGTCGAGGAATTTCTAAGAAATGCTAATAACCCAATAGGTCCAAAGGATCCATATGTCTCTTGTTCAAAGCAGATTTTCCAATACCTACAAGTGCCGGACATTTTAATGGCATTCCACAAGATTTAACAACTGTTGACAAAATAATCCCAATGTCTTTCTGACTGAACATGGAGAGATAAAAATAACATTTAAAGCCATTTTTGAATAGAGTGTCATAATATTGAAATTTCAACAAAATATCCATTAGCCTTGATGTTGGTTAACCACAATTTTCTAGAAAGTCACGAGGAACGGCTTCCTTACATTACTCTGGTGTTTATTGACCTCAGTGGCGTGTCTGATAGCAGGCGGCTCCCTCATACGGGCGTAATCTGAGAACCCTTTGGCAGCGTCGTGTTTCTGCTTGTAGGCAATCTTTAAAAAAAACATACACACACGGAATAAACCATTACTCTCCTCTAGAGCTATATTAAATTCTTAACTGTTAAATTTCAATGTTTGCTAGGATTTTATATATGTCAATGCCACAACTGATGGTCAGATTAGCCTGAGCCTCTACAACAAGACAATACACACAACACTTTCATTTTAGTGCTTCAGTTTAGATTCCTATTTCTAAATCTTTGTCACTTATTTCAAAAGTCCTTGCCCATAGGCTGAAATCTCAACGCTTGTATTCATCTCGTTTAAATCTCAGCTGCAGTTTTGAGAAACCTCCCACACCCAACAGCTCTTAAGGTTATAAATGTCCAAGGTTTAAATCTTGGGCAAGCAAGTGAAAAAGCAGGGGAAATGATCAAATATTTAAAAGTGAATTGTTCATTTTAAAATAAATTGTTATGATTGTATATAGACACAGCTATAATATTTAAATGCCTTAAACTTTGGAAGAAAAGATAATTCGGGCAAAACTGCCAGATATGTCAAGCTCCATCCTCTGTTAGAGAAAGAACTATCACACCAACGCCGTCCATTACTGCCGAGTTCAATCTGTCCCGCACGCTGATGGAGAGGAGGCCCGAGGATGACCGCTCAGGAAGCAGGCCCAACCAAAGTCGACCCGAGAGTTCAAAGTTAAAGAAGATCCAGAAGACAGCAAACAAATTATCCCCTTGCTCTCAGTCTATGCCATTGCCCTATTTACTTTCTTCACAATTTTTAACTAGGTTGTTTACTTTGTCCAATTATTTCTTTTCTGTCTGCCCTTACCAGAACTGAACTGTCTGGCTCCCTGAGGGTGCAGAGCCCCAGACAGTGCCTGGCACCATGGGAACAGTAATAAATCTTTGCTCAAGTAAATAAATAAATGAATAAATAACTGAATGAATGAGAATAAAACACAGATAAATTATTTCAAAATTAATTTTCAATAGATATCAAAGGTTTAATAATAAAATGATATTAAATGGAGTTAAAATTACTTGGCCCAAGAGAATAAAGTCCCCTTCAAAAAGAAAGATTAGAACAAACATTTACCAAGAACAAAACAAGATCTAATTTTCAATGAAAAAGACTACAGTTAAACTTAGGGGAAAACTTTTTACCAATATGATCTCCTGGAGAGCTATGCCTGTATTGTACACATCATTTAATGTTCTGTGCCTAACATAGTAAGTGGCAAAGAGCGCAAGTGCAATAAATGTTTAGTGAATGAATAAATAAAGTAGTTTATTAAACGTTCTCATGAACTTAAATCCCTCATAGGCTTTAATAAACAGAATTAACCACCCATTTGACTTATATAATATATTGAATACTTATCTAAATGATTAAAATGATTACAAAACAATTTTTAATTAAAAAACAAAATCATCAAATATAGATAACTGCAAAAACAGAAAGCCATCAAGTACAACCATCTATGTTTAACCCTTCTCTGCTTCCTCTATTGAGTTTTTCTTGAAAACCAATAAAAGAGAACTCAATCTGGGGTATCACAGTCTCTCAGTTTTGAAAGCTGTGACAGAAAGCTCCTCCTTCAATGAAACCCAAAGCTGTCCCCACCTGGCCATGCAGGCCGAGTCTAGTTCACAGGGCAGAACTTAGCACGGGAACACAACCGTCAGGGACTGCCCTTCTTCTCAACTGTCTGTGTGGGTCAAAATTCTGAACCACTCTACACTCCCAAGGTGCACTCCTCAGTACAAATTCCAATGTATCCATCTCTTTCTTAAGGTAAACAATGTTCCATATATGATCTGACCTATCCTAATTAGAATTATTCAGTTTAATCCAACTACCATTTCTCCTATGTTATATATGTGATTAATGCACCCATAATGCAAGAGGATCACACTGTTTCCTGTTGATGGTTATGTTGAGATTGTCAACTGAACACTCTTATCGTCTCATTCAGCTCCACCCAGCCCTGATCCCACATCCAATCCTGCATGTATGGCTGATTATTAGGGCTCACATGTGGTACCTCACATTAGCCCAGGGATCATTCACCTTGTTACAGTCTGTCCAGTGATTTAATCCATCAGGATATCTAATTCTGATGAACATATATTTGCATTTTTCACCAATTAATTATGTTAAACAGGAAACCCATTAAGAGCCTCCTTTCAGGCCGAGAAAGTCCATTATCTCAGTTCCATTACATTCTATATTATATCTTCAGGGGGAGGGAGGAGGAGTTTAATGGGTGGCCAAGTCTATTAACCCAGCGAAAAAACTTCTATGAGATATAATCCATCTACTTAAATAAAAAGAGAGCTAGGTTGTACATTTCTCCTTTTTTGCTGGATGCTTGGTTTATTTTGAATCTTCAACTGACTATCGCACTTGTGACTTTATAAACCTAACCAGTGCAGCTGTTCATCTTGTGGGTTATCATAGAAATGGTGAGTCATCAAACACAATTTTAAAAAGCATTCTTTGTTAAAAAGACTAATTTCCTACTTGCAGTATTAAAATCATTTCATTTATAGCTGTTACGAAGCACCACTTCAGAATTAAGATTACATCAAATTGGAGGCAGCTGAACTTTATCATATTAATTTTCATCCTTAAAAATAGCTAATGGAAGCCCTGGATGGTATAGCTCAGTGGATTGAGCTATACCAGCTCAGTGGGCTGGTTCTCAGTGGGCTGCGAACCAAAGGGTCGCTAGTTTGGCTCCCAGTCAGGGCACATTCCTGGGTTGCAGGCCAGATTCCTGGTGAGGAACACATGAGAGGCAACCACACATTGATGTTTCTCTCCCTCCCTTCTCCTCTCTCTAAAAAAAAATAAATCAAATCTTTAAAAAATAACTAATGGAAATTATGTCAAACTAATAAATTTCCTGATAAATTTGATTTCCTAGGATTTATCATTATTGTACGGCATTTCTCTAGATTAATACTTGTTTTCTTCATACCCTGAGAATTAAGCTTGCCATGGTACTAGACACCTAACTAGGGAGGTTGCTTGTGATAGTCTTACGTACTTTATGTACAAATATGCTTATATAAGTAACATATATTTATACTACATATTCAATTGCATAGTATATCTTTATATCTCATACATACATATATAAGATGTACAGATATTTCTAACTTACACTATATTTTATAAATACTACATAGGTAAATGTACTTCTAATCGATAACACAGATGCCTCTGGTGCTCCTTGTGGTCACTCCAGGTAAAAACATAGGCTCTCCTAAACCTCCTCAGTGCAGATGCCTGAGTAGCCTGTATGACTTCTGCAATAAGGGATTATTTAGCCCCTCTCAGAAACAGCCCCTGGGGAGAAGAACTTCACTACTACCTACCACAATCCGTTTGTCTCCACTAGCTTTTCCTTGTGATCTATGTTTATAAAGTTTTTAATGAGGAATATCTAATAAAATGAGTTCCTAAAATCTCCACCTCTCTCTCTCTCTCTGTCTGTCTCTCTTTCTCTCTCTTTCTCTCGGCATTTTTATTAGTCATTTCCTTTATGCAATATTAAGCTAGCCAACTTCACCTTACCACTCTAGTCTGAATGTAAGCATCTGAGAATGTTTGCAAAATGGTTTTAAGATAATAACTTGCACCAGTGTTCAGGAGATATTTCATTAGAGCCAAAAAGCCATTAAATTTCAGATTTGGCTCATACCCTAATTTAGGTTAGCACAAATTTGATACTATTTGGACAGAGTAAAGGGTTAGTTTAATTATCACAGACATTGTCAAATAGGTTTACAATCTTGACTTTATTATTACCAGGTAAGCTCTGAGGATTGCAATTTTAATGATAATAAAATTGGTGTGTGTCAGTCTAAAGAAACATTATAATGATTACCTAAACTTTGAAATAGACACCTTGTGCAGGGCCCAGGGTTTTCCTTACCAACAAGTTCAGTGACTAATTGCAACACTGGGCAGCACCGCTTCTCAAAAGCACAGACATGGCTTTCCCAGGGCGCATCCTCTACTACAGGGCATCACAGACTAACAAGGTAAGTGGTGACCCATCCTGGCCCCAAAATAAAAAAACAGTTCCAAATATACAACATGGGTCATTTTTCTGTTAAGGTTTCTGTTGTATATGTTTGTGTGTTATAGATCTATTTATGCTGGAAAAGGTGACAAAAGTTGTGCATTTCCAAAGCAATAAAAATGTCCATAGCTAAAAAAAAAATGCTATCTTCCCAAGTAAATGTAAAATTTAAAATAGATTTTTTTCTTTTCCCGCTTTATTGCTTAACTGTTGCTTGTCACATGTCAAGTGCTGTGTGATTATTTGCTTTATAAAGTAGTCCATATTATCAGCAAGCGGCTAGGTGACCAGTGTGGGCAGCAAAAAAAAATTAAAAAGGAGGGGGACACATTAGTCACGGTCAGCCATGCGCAACTTTAACATCATGTATTTTTAGCCTCCAGTTGCACAGTGAGATTAGCTGACTGCCAAGACCGGTGCACAGTGGACATTTAAATGTGTAATAATGAAGGACTTAAAGAGGTTCTGCCAAAGATAACTATGCTCAGTATTTTTCAAGAATAATCTATTTTCAAACTATTTTAAAATTATCTAGGTATCCTCTACTTAGAAGTTAAAAGATTCTGGAGAAAAAAATAAACTTGTTTAATAAGAAAAAGAGGGATAGAGATGGTAAAAAAAAAAAAAAAAACGGTGGTAAAATATGTGGTTAAGAAACCAGACTCCAGAACCAGAGAGTCCATGTTCATGAGCTGGCTCAGCCATTTATTTGCTGTGTGACCTATGGCAACTTATTTAACCTCTCTGTGTTTCAGTTTCCACATCTCAGAAATGGGAATATCTCACACAGTGCTTGTGAGGATCAAATGATATAAATATCTGTGAAATGCACAGAACAGCACCTGATATATAGTAAACATGTCTATGTGTTTACTATCATTTTTAACTTAAAATGTAGCATGAAGAATGTAAGTTATGTAAAAACATTTCCTTGGAAAGGAAACCAACAAATTGAATAAAAATCCATTTTACAAGCATTCACAGAACATTTCTTGTGCACCAGGGAAGGTGCTAAGCACGGCGGGAGAGCAGGGAAGGAGACAGATGGGGTCCTGCTCTCATGCCACTTAGGAACCCAGTAACAGACTGATATAGCAAAAAAAAAAATCAGATTGTGCAATGAAGAAAACAAAATGATGTGTGGGAAAGAGGGGAGATATTCTATATTAAAATCCTACTTTAAGAATTACCACAAATTAAATGTATTCAGCGTTCCTTATGTGTTGATGAACTATAGCAGGAAAATCACTCCTACACTCCTGTGGATTCAAAATGAGTTTACATGATGACATTTCTGTAAACTGCAGTCACCAAAATGGTCCCTTCCACCTGATGGATGCTTTTTTTGAGAGCCTGGGGGATTCTAAATGAAAAACACAATGAAACTTTCATTTTGTATTCAGTAAGTAGTACTCAAGATAAACAACTTTTTAAAATGCTGAATAATTTATAGTAGGTTATATGTTTAATACATACAATCAGGTAACAATTGAGGAAAACCACACCTCACTCTGAAGCTGTGTCACTTCTCGTGCGAAGACACTATCGATTGTGGCCGGCATCTGCTTGTAAAGAGAATTGGAGAGGTCTGCCTTAATGGTGCCTTTGTATTTTGCCTGGGGCGGGGGGAAGGAAAAAAATAAATAAACATTCCTCTTTACTGTGAATACTGAAAGAGAATAAAACAAAACTTTCTTTAGAACTGGAATTAATTTAAAAATCTGAAAAGCATTTTAATCTTTGATACTAGACCTGATGAACATATTTTGAAGAAAGATAAATCCAGTTTTATCATGAGAAGGCTTTAAGTGAGACATAGAAGAAAAAAAAAGACTATTTTTCTATTTAAACCCATGTACACTTCTAAAAGTAAATCGGTGTGTATTAATGGTTCCATATGTTTGATCAGCAAAGAAAAATCTGAGAGCAATGAGACATTTGAGTTGTTTCAAAAAACACAAGCTGTTAGAAGGTACTGTCTGACCTAATGCAAAGGACAGAGCGCCTTTATTCGTCTTGTCAACCTCCTCCCACCACGATGAGGGGTGGGGTGCTTTTTTGCTATTTCTGCGCCTTCACACCTCCAGTCGGCACTGTTCCTAAGTGACCTCAATCATTACTCTTACAGAAAAAACACTCATTCACCAGCTCCTCTTGGGAAGATTAGGTTCAAAGTAACACAACAGATTGCCCACTCCCATGTTTTCATTCTGCAGTTAACTCATTCAGGGAAACGAATCAATTGATAATTAAGAACATCAAGACATTTTCTGCACAAGAGAAATAACAGCTAACTCATATAAATAAAACTATGTTTTCCCACATTTTGTCTACCAGTCCCTGATATGACTCCCACTCAGAACTAGATTCGAGCATTGAATTATTGAGCATGTCTCCTGTTTAAACTTTGTGTTTCTACAATTCTTTGGATGTGGATACTTAAGAAATTTACCCAATTTTCTTCATAATATTTTCATGTTGGCAAAAACAATCCTGAAAATATCATGTTGATTTTTCCCCAACATATGAAACACTAGAGGTCAGCCATTTTATTCATTCTCTCACCAAGTTCATCTCTTCCAAGTGACCCTCGCACAGACTACAGAAATGCCTCATCTCCAAAATCACTGTTAACTGCTCTTTTCAGTGCAACATATACCGTGGTCATAAATGCTCTCAGAAAGACACTACAGATTTTTCAGCTGGAAAATAAATGTAGTGCACTTCTCACTCTGTGGTCTCATAATCGGATCTCCACTGAGCCAATTCTACTCAAAAACAGTTTAAACTGATTTAAAATTAATTAACCAAAAGTGCCATATTTTATGGAATCAGCCAGTAAATTTTACTTATTTTCAAAATTATGTTCAATAATTTATAACTAGTCAGTCTGTTAAGAAATAAAACATGAAACATCTAAGACTATTCTGACAATACTTTCTACATATTGAATAAAAAATATCCTGTCAAGAGTAGTTCTGTATAAATAAGAAAGGTTTGGAGTCAAAACACAGGCATACATAATAAAGCATATCATCCACAGACAGTAAAATACATCAATTTACATGAGTTAATTTATAGTGCATAGAATTAGAAAATTACATACATATTACCAATACTCAGTGGTGCTTTTGAAAATATTCTTCAACTTTAATGCACAATTTTTATCTATATATAAAAAGAATATGTGAGCCATTTTGCAAGTTTTTGATAACTTACCTCAGAAATAAAAGCACCAATATTTTTTACATGGTTTAGCATAGGAGTGTCTGTCACAAATGTACACTTGTCCTTGGACTTTTTATACTCTTCTTTATAATGGATCTAAAAGATAGAACAATTCACATAAGAAGAGGAAGAAGGAAAACAATTTCAATGATCTGTTGTTGAACAGAAGAATTACCTTGAGAAAACCCATTTTCCGAAGTAAATACTCAAATGTGGAATGATACTCAAAACAAGCCAAATCACACAAACTGATATCCAGCACAGAACAGCAAAAATGATGAGGCATAATAAAGAAAGCCTCTGTTTTAGATAAATGAGGATGAAGTTACTGTCAAGAATCATGTGTGCTAGACCCAGGAATATGAGTCCTATTGCCAAGTTTGTTACTTTTAAGCACTAGCCTTAACAGTTAAGTGTATGGTCAAACAGAAATAGAGCTGCCTACCTCCAGGTATAAAGCAAAGAGTCATCAGGATAGAAGTAGCCATTTAAGAAGTAGAGGCAGAAATTAAACAAATGAAGATTACTATTACATTAGCACCATTATCTAGACCTGATAGATTAGAGGAATGGGCTTAAAATTAAGGCCACCATGGGCTTCCTGTTACTAATTAATTCCACCCAAATCAAACTTACTCAATTTATGAGCACTCACAAGCATCCCATCCTCCTTCCTCAACAAGAGTAGAACCTGCCCAGAAAGTCTGGCACATGGTTGAGATTTCAGAATGACCCTTGCTGTGAGTTAAGCACACGAGCAAGAAAAAGATCAGAGAGGCCTTGCTGAGCATGCTCATTTCTCCCCTTGAACTCACTAATAAAATGAGTCACCCCTTCCCTCATGGGGAGAGGCCGGCATTGTTATTTTGAAGAAAGATCCCACATGGACACAGGAGCCAAAAAGAAGTTAGGAATGATGGAGAAGGATTTAAAATGTATTCCCACTGTCTCACTAACTGCAGCCCAATCTGAAAACTGGGGAGCCAAAATTCATGACTAGTGGAGAGGACAAAGGTATTTGCTAAAAGTTATATCACCCTGTAATAAAGTCATCTTTATCTACCCAAGACTGCAAATACCTAAGCTGAAAAAAGGGTTCTGTGGTCTCACTAATTATAACCTAAAAGTAAAGTTTAATTCTATATAGTACCTGGTTGTTAAAGGACGTGACTAATACTGATGTTACACACCACATTGCATAGGGATTTCATCATATGCAAAGCTGATCTGAAGGGCACTATCTGACCATGAGCAGATTCGAACACACTAAGTAACATTATTTCAAAATGCCGTATTTTGCCACTGTGACTTTTAGATATTATATGCCTGCCACTTTAAACATTTGCTTTATTCATGAAATCAACATTAGAACATATTTATCTTATCTGTGCAATGAATTACTTTTTTTCTTCTCAGAGATTAGCCATAATTTTAGGCCTCTGCAAATCGCCCTCCTCAGTCACTAGTAATTAAACCGTTAAAGGCAGTATATGATAAATAGTAGGCTATTTTGATCATAAAGGGGGGAACAGTATCCCCATTATATAATAAGCGTGAGGGAAAATAACCTATCATTAGGCTTAAGTCTGCCTCATTATTTTTATCTTTTGCCACCATCTTTTCCCTTTCACACTCACATTCCTCACTGCATGGTACGTGCTGGGGCCACAGGCCTCCTGATAAGCTCTGACCTGAGCAGAATGTTCAGGAAGGGAGCAAGGATAAGGGTGAAGTACTTACTTCCTTTGCTATGCAGGCAAAAAGTTCATTCTTAAGTGTGGTCTCCATTCCTTTCTTTGGTCTTTATTTAAGATACATACACTCACATTTCCAATTTCTAATGAATTATATAATATGAATGACAATAGCACATTATCTTAAATTTTTATACAAAAAATGTCACCTGAGAATAGCCTTCCTATACCAGAAGAAGACAGATAAAAGGAAATCAATGACTGACACAAAATCTTCAGTAAAATGAAAATCGCTGAGCGGGCAGCCATCTCCTAATACAACGTTGTATATATTCCTAAAACGACTATGGCTCTGTCTCTTGGGTGGATTGCCTATCCAACCCCTCTTTTTCTTGATAAAAGATCCCCAATGTATTTATTAGAGCAGCCAGACCCCTCCCCCGGCCCCAGAGGACAAATTGCTCTAAACCATGCATGGTTTTCTCATGCCCCTTGGCAAGTGATTGGCCTGGGGAGGCCAGGTGCCCAACTCTGGTCACAAGACATTAGCAGAGGCTTCCCAGTGTTCTCGCATTACTGGTGTACAGGGAGAGACTTGCTGGCATTGCCCTTTGACACTTTGCCCTTCCACCTTTATCCTTCCCAGTCAAAGGATACAGCAGCAATGATGTCATTATAAGGCAAAATCAGCCACCATACTAATTTTGACAGAGCAGAAGAAAAGGAATCTGAGAAACCATTAGCATCAAATATGCCAAGACCCCCAGAGTCTGGGGGTCTACCTGTAGGCTTCATGTGTGGGGGTAAAAAAAAACCTATTTGTTAAACCCCTGTGCAAGGGTTCTCCTGTTACTTGCAACTCTCTGTACTCAGAACCACTAAACCATGCCAGTTACGTTCTGACTGAGAAAAAAAGGGCAAAGTTGATGACTTAATGATCATTAAGATGACCAAAATATTTACTTTCTGCTTTGACCTCACTCATTAATCCCACCGTGTCTCAAATGCCATGAGGTGGCACTTCCTCTGCTACCCTGCCTCTTGGTTTCTTTCACTCGGTGGGAAATTAGCAAATGGCTGGAAGTGGGTGATAGACGTAGAAATGTTTGAGGATACTTCCTTTCACAAGCACTCTTACCCAAAAGTACCTAGACAGTCTTTTCACAAATGGAGCCACACCGCTAAATGCAGTAACCCTGGAAGAAAGAACTGGGTTCTCTGCACCCATCTATTAACTGGGCGCTCACAGCCCAGGCTGCTCCCATGAGGCCATCCAACACACTCAGAGCTTCCTCTGGAGGAGTAACCACGAATCTAATGCTTGCAACATTTTAAGGATTCACCCATAACACACAAATGCTCTTTTCCCTGAGGTATGTTCTTGCTGCTGCACTGCACATGAACACCCTAAAAAGGTTTGAACCGGAACACCGAGTCAGAGGTGTCCTGCAGATGTGGCCAAACTTGATCTGCAGAGACTTTATGTCTAATTCACAAGAAACATACAAACGATCATCTTTAACCTAATATTTTTATGACCACCTGACAAAATATCACTAGATCTATGATTCTAACTGCTAAATATAGTCAATTGGTTTGATTTATTCAAGGGATTGACTAGAGAGTTGACCAACAGGATAGAACAGCAGAGAGGGATCATCCGGGGGAAATAAAAAGCATGAGTGGGTTAGCAGAAAAATGAAAGAGGTTGCCTCAGAGGACCAGGCGTTGTCTTCGGGATTGGGAAATTACTCATGCAGAGGGAAGCGCCACCTATGGGCACAGCAAGGACAACGCAGAAACTAGGTGGGGCAAAGAAAACTTAAAAATGCCTCACTCTGATCCCCAAAGTAAAGCCACCTGATCTGAAAAATATAGAATTCTAAACAGTGCAGGCCTGCCAGGACTTCTCTCTAGACCAATCATATTGAACATTTTAATAAACGGTCTGGCAACGACATGATACAGCACAGTATGCAGGTCTGCTGCTGACCCCAAGCTCTCAGGGAGAGTGAAAAGTCAAACTGAAAGAGCTAAACCACAAGCAACTACAGATGACATCCATCCCTGGCAAGGTGAAAATCATTCAAACTACTACCAAAAGTTGATGAGCCCTAAGTAATCAGCTATAATTCAGAAATTAGGACTGAAAATATCTGAGAAAGATGTCTACAGAGCTTGATCTAATAGCTTTCTGCAGGCCTCCAGCCCAAGAAGCTCTAACTACCCTCACAGAGGGTGCATGGAACAAAAGGAAACATCATCCCATCCTACTCCTGGTCAGGGGCCATGCACATCCGCACTGCTGTGCACGGCTCTGGTTATCACACCCAATTACGACATATGAAAGTTAGAAGAGGTTCAAAGAGGAACAGTTGGAATGATGATGGAGGCAATGCAGAAAGGCTGCTCCACGAAGAGAAATCCACAAAGCTACTCTTTTCACCCAAAAAAAATGTAGCAGAGTGATAAGTGGCTATCATCCAGACTCTGGATTTAACCAGACCTAAACCAGAATTTTGTCCTCACCCCTGTCTAGCAAAGTGGCCTTAGGCAAAACAGTCTTGGGTTGCACCACCTCCGAACTGAGGCTCACAGAACCAATATCACAGAATACGATGAGGTGTGTGGAGGGCTTGGCACACAGCAAGAGGAAGGACATCACGGGGCCTAAGGCTTGGGAGTCAGACAGACTATGGTTCTAATCCTAGGCCTGTGTCTCACTAGCTGTGTGATTCAATCCACAGGATGTAGGACTCTAATGAGGAGGCAAACAATACACCGAATTCTCTTGGTGACACAGGCTTCAGACAGACTGCCTGCAGACAGACAAAAAGCCTCAGGTAAACACATGGATGCCCCTTGGGGATATAATGAATTAGAAAACAAAACTAAGGGAGTTAAAGGTCTGTCTTTAAACTGAAGTTTGAGGCCAGGGAAAAGACAGGCATGCTAAATTAAATGTGGACAAGGACAGACGGGCACTGTCAGAGGTAGAATCTCCGAAGACCCGTCCAGAACGTCGCTGAACTCGGGGCAGTAAGTCATCCTTGTTTGTATCTGTTTTAGCCCTGCAATTGGCGCAACCTTGCATATACATTTTAGACGACCATTTAGTCGTGCAAACAACATAACAGAGATAACATCAAATTTAAGTTAGTATGTTCTATGTGAAAATGTTGGTAGAGTTACTATTACTAATATTAGTGTAAAATTAATAATAAAGGTAAGATAACCTGCAAGGACATTTACAGTGAGAGAGGACACGGCGGTGTGGCTAAGACAGAGTGCTTTGTGTGTAAGCCCTACTCCCCACCACTTAACTGTGTGACCCTGGAAAGCTACTTAGCCTCTCTGAGCCTTTGTTTCTCACCTCTAAATTGGGAAAAACAATAGAACCTACCTCATAAGCTTCAATGAGCAGCACACAGTACTCAATAAATCTTAACTATTGTTAAGATTATTGTTATTATTATTGTCATTTCAATATTATTACAGCTTACAATAAACTTTCAAATACAGTAGCTCATAACTATCATTAAATAATAGCACAAAGAAATACCTGATTTAAAATTTAATTATATCACATGTCAAACATATGGAGAGAGGAATGACTCCCACCATCCTTCGGCTCTTTCTGATAAGTCCCTTTCACAAGCAATTCTCTGCAACTTTTAACGAGAGCATCTCAATTCCCACACCAAGTGAGCAATGCTTTTCTTTGTGCATCTGGAGTTTTAGTTATTTACTGTAAAAACATATGAGCTAATTCTACAATTTTAGGATTCCCTTGAAATATAATATAAACCAATCTCAATTAATGCAAAAGTCACAACAAAAATTCTCCTTTTCATTCCTATCATCATCATCATCATCCAGTCAAGAGTTCTTAACATGCAGCTCAATTATCCATTAATTCTGAGTTGGAAGTCAATGTTATGGGCACATGGGTACTACATGCATTTTTCTCTGGTTTGGAAAACTACTGTACTCATCAGAGTCCTCAAAAGGTCCCCAAAATGTTTTTTAAATCATTCATTTATAGAGATCCTCCCAAAACATATTATATCACTATACAAATTGTAACAGGCTTTTGGTTGTTAAAGAAATATGCTCTGAATTCAATGCTTTATGATTTCGTGCCAGAGTGACAGTGAAAACCTTAGGGACAAGATTCTGGACTGCGAACACAGACACCCGTTCCCACAGAAATTCTCTGTGTGGGTGACCTTGGGGAAATCACCTAAAACTCCTCGATTTAGTTCCATAATCTGTAAGATAACGGTGTTTTGAAAGATGGTTTTGGGGTTTTCTCTCCTGCTTTAGATTCTATGGTACAATATTCTATGATATGCAATGCAAAATACAACAAAAATTACTTAAGCCACTTACATCACTAATGAGTTTGGTGCATTTTCTGGCCAATTCCATGCTCAGATCTTCAATCACAGGCTTAAAGAATACCTGTCCAGAAAAAAAGGGAAATGAAACGTATTTCTAATCATCAACTTAGAGGAACAAATACCCTTCTTCAGCAGGTGCTTGCCCACTCACCTTGTCTTCTTCATTTTCTTCTTCCTCTGTTTTTTCCTCTTCAGTTTCATCTTTTACATCCTCAAATACAGGGACCCTCATTTTTGCTCTGTGCATATGTATATATTCTTCTTAACTCACCAGTGTAGCATTGGTTTATGTACTATAGTACCCTTGGGATCTTAGCATCCCTGGTATTCTGGCATGAATGACCTTGCCCAGGCCTCCTCTGTATTTAGCTCACACTTCACTCTCCTTATCACAGCTATGTGTTAATGGATGGGACAGGATCCCGGAGGTTGGCCAGGGCTAGCTTCCCAAGGGGAAATGACATTTTAAAAAGCAAAATTCACTTTTATGAACATTTAGAGTCAGCATTCTTTTAACTTGTTAAGAAATGCAAAAAAGATAATTTATTTATATTTCATTAATTCAATTCATTCATAAGAGAGCTTGAAAAAGACTTCAAGATTCTGGGGAAACCATTCAGCTGTAACACTCAAGTTAGCACATTCAAAAGCCTGTTATCTTAAAAAATTCCTCAACTCCTTCTAAATAAAGCTTTCACTGAAATGTCAGACATATCTCTGATTCGGGATGATGAATCTGGATCATTCAAACTCATTTCATTAATGTAAGTTAAATTTTTATGAGATATAAATGTACTTCTCACATTCTAAAAAACACTCACTTTATATTAGCTGATTAAAGCCTAGTAATTTATTATGAAAAGCTCTTTGAGCCCTTCGAGGAATCTATTCTGAGTTAATTATAAATGTTAATCCTATATTGCTAGTGTATTATTTTACTTGTAAACATCATTAAACATGAGAAGTTGCAGTTAACACAGGTTGATATATCATTTAAGAATTCAAAACAATACTAATCATCTCTTTCAATTCTGCCCACCATGTCAGTTTTTACAAAGTTGCAAGTTATTTGTATATCCTTCAGTGTGTACTACACACACATAAAAGTTTGGAAAAATAAACTAGAATAATATTATAATGTGGTATATGTCATCAGTTATATAATTAATATATACTGCTCAAAACAAACCCTTCATGTTAATGTAGCTAATCTTAAGACTCTCTCCAACTCATAATTTATCAACTTAGTTATTTAAATCCTAGGGTAAATTAATATTTTACAGCCACAGCACATAAGCACTGGACATTAAAAAACACCCCATGGTGAATAATTAAACTAATTATATAAAATAGGACTTTATTCAAAATAATACATCATTTTTAATAGCCAAGTATAATGCTATTTTCTCTTTATATCCCATCTAGTTTTAAATTTATTTTTTAATTCCCTCAGCCTTGCCTAAACTAAAAATTCTGACAAGAAAAATTTCTGCATGGTCATCATGTATAGATAATTTCTCACATCATGTTCTATGAGAATAAAGTTCCACTGGCGATTCTGAGTGGAAACGAGGGGTTTCTTAAACAAACGCGTTTGGAGAAACCTGTATTCTAATCTCTACCCCTGCCACTAGAGATCCACACAGCAATGACACATTGGAAGTTCTGAGAAGATGCACATCCAAGAAAAGTATTTAAGTTTGCTTAACCCAGCACTTCCTAAACATGAACTTCTATCCATCTAATCTAATCTACTTACATACCTACCTATTTTTAAATGATACCTGATACTCCAGAAAACTTAACACTTTTCTGTGAAATATTACTTAGGGAAACACTGTTCTATTCTGAAAAAAAAATGTTGTGTTCTAGAAGAACCATTGGTCTTCTCATGAAACAATTTTTGATACAGGCTAACTTAAGAGCATCACATATCCTGCTTATCAACAAAATACCAAAAAGAAATGTCCCAAGGGTACTGAATTTGGAAAACTTCACTTTAAAATAACAGCCTTGTCAGGCCAGTATAGAGAAGTCTACAAGGAAATTCTCCTTACATTAATTATAGTTGTTCCATAAAGGAGCAGAGTATGTGGGTTCTGATCAATTCCTTCAAGTCCTCTGCCAAAAGACTACCCTATAGAACATCAATTCCATTACCTTTATTTGGAAATAGGGAAGAGCGTTTTTCATAATCTTTTCTTGCAAACTTCTAGGAGTGTAGGGAGAAAATATTGCCACAGCAGCTTAAGATGCATCTGTTGGCTGATGTTTAAGGTGACAATACTTGTGTTCCTCGTGGTAATACCTATTCTCCATGGTGAATTAGCTTCATCAGACTTCAATGGCTGCTTTTTCTCATTTTCCATCATGTAAGAAGTTCTTATTGACTCTTCACTGTACTGGAAAAGATCATGCACAGACATTTTCAAAGTATAACCAAACACCATATGCAACATGAAAATAAATTTTCCATTTGCAATTTCAGAATCAAAATTTTAAAGACATGGGTATCCTTAAGAAATCAATCCTACTAAAGCCCTCTTTTTTACAGAGGGCAAAATCATGGTCAAGAGAAATTAATTTTGCATCCTATTCACAGAGTTATTCAGTGGAGCACCAGGACCAGTATTTAACGAAAGCCCTATACTCATGCATTCAAACACGTGCTGTTATGCCAGGCACCGTGCTTGCTGTTGGAGATGCAGTGGTGAGTAAAACATACTTGGTGCTAAGATAAGGCAGGAAATAAAAAACTCATCATTCAAGACTTGCTGGAGGAAATCCTTAATGTTTGGCAAGCTAGACACATTATTACTTCTGATTAAACGCATGTTTCCTTTCACCTATAGGTATAATACAAAATTCATATAAAGTTTTCTCTAAAACATTTTAAGTCCTGTACTTCATCACAGAAAAGCACTGTTGTCAATACCTCCAAAATGTAACTTAGGGAATAAGAAGAAAGTGTTATTCATGGAGAGGTAATCACATTTCAAAATTCCCTATCATCCTCTTTTTTAAAAACAAATTAAATATTGTATTTTAATACATATTTTCACCTTGGGAGCCCCAAAAGGGATTTTCTGTATAGCTGCTAATCCTTTTTACTTATTGAGAATTTCATTTTACGTCATCTAATCCTTGTGTTAGTACTTTCTATCCACGCCCTGATTCAAAATGAGACCAAGTCGGGAGCCACTTTACCTACAGCCAACCAACCCCCTACTTCCCTTAGAAAGTAGTGAAGATCCTTACCAACACAAGTTTTCACCTATCCAATAAAGGCACACGGTTCCAGGAAAAGCATTTGATATGAAAGGATCCTCTCATTTAAAAGGTGCAACTCTGTATCATCGATATGTTTTTAAAGGCCAGAAGGGCCTCATAGAGCATGACTAAAGATAAGAGCTAACTTGCCTGTCATAATACAGAAGTCTTTGGTCTCGCTAGGGTTTGATACTTATGGGTAAGCAATGTATTTCCATAGAAAGTACAGAGTCCCTCCAGTAATTCAGGTCTCCAGGGATACAGCCCCTGGCCAAGGAAACACTTCTATACCATCACAAGTCATGCAGTGCCTGACAGTCTCAGTGTTGTTAAGGTCACATGAGACAAGAATGTCTTGTGTTCTGACAAATGTTTCATACTTATTTCACTTTGCCTCTTTTCTTTTCTTTACAGTGATAGAAACTGTGTTTTCCCCCAAGATGGTGATAAGTATCTCACAAACAAAAATCCATGATTAATAATTGAAATACATTGAGATTCAGTTTTGAGTTGAGGAACACTTAAGAAATAAACTAATTTTTTTAGTTTTAAAATTAACTCAGCATTCTTATTATAAAACCCTAAAGGGTTAGGTGAGAGAGAAATTAATTCATTTGACTTGTTTCCCTGCCAGAGGTGTTTTTGTTTGTTTATTTGTTTTGATTTTGGTTTGTTGTTGTTGGTTTGGTTTTTTTATGACTATCACCCTGAAGGTTCTCAGTTGAATTCCTGGTTATTTTAATTTTGCTTCATGTATGTCCTCATTAATCAGCATCTGTCCAAAAGAGAACTTTACTAATAGATGAGGGGGAGGAATCATTTCTTAAAACAAGATATGTAAGCTCTCTAGGGCAGTCTGTTCTTTATAAAAGAGCTCTGCTTAACATTAGCCCTATCTATTTTTACAATTCACACTCACCAAGCCTATCTTCTCCTTTTTAGTGACTATTTCATTACCATTTGTTAATTCAAAATCAAAAGAATATAAAGCAACTTGAATAACTGTCACTCTTACCAACTATGCCATTAAAATGAGCTTTAATAGAGTGTTTTTCTGTGTTCCTATTCACATTTTCAAATACAGATCCTACTCACAAATGAAAACCACGCATCTACACTGGTGTTGGAAAAGCAGGAGAACAAAAAAACTGCAAATAACTTTTGACACAATTTCCAGGTTGAATGTGGTTGGGATGCCAAAATTAAAAATATGTACTCTTCTAAATATTTTGACAGAAAATAAAAGTATTCTTATTCAAAGTCTACAGTAACATAAGCACCCAGGAAACTGAAAGACTAGCTTAATTTGCTACTTACTTGAGATATTAGTTCAGTTTTAACAACAATAAGGCAAACACCACAATCACTTCTACAGCCCTCCATACCAAGAGAAAGGAGCCCGTGGTCTGAGTAGCCTCTATGTGGCCTGTCACCAGAACTAAAGGATTATGTGGGATCAAACAGCTTGGCTGTCCCCCAAAGCATCCTTTGTCTGCAGTTTTTTGTGAGAGGTCAGGAAAATTTTTGAAAGACTTTGAAACTGGCAATGAAAAAAAAAAAGAATTGGAAAAGATTACCTTGCGTCTTATCTGGTGTTACCTTCTGGCTAATTTGGCCTTTCACTGTCTTTGAGCAATCTTACAACTCTATAAATTGTTGAAAACTGATAACAATGCTAATGATGCGTTATCCACACAAGCGCAAGTTAATTGTTGCCCTGGGAAAGCAACTGATTGTTGCCTTGTTGATAGACCCTTTGAATACCTATTTGTAAATTCATTTCAGGATTCCTTATTATTCATGTATGTCTAGTCCTTCAAATTCACCTTTAAACCCATTGTAACATCTTACTAGTGCCCTCATTACTTAATGAGTCAAATCTTTGAAACGTGTTCATTTTACATTTCATGAGAATCATGATTTCACCATTTTAAAAAAAAACCCTTTCACAGATACAAATGATTTAATTATCACTTCTTTGCTTTAACAATCAAACAAAAATAGAAAGGGGGAAGCCATTGTTCAATAAAAACCAATTCTCTTGATTATAAATGTAGCTGCAAC